GGTTGGTTGGTCCTTCTGCCTCAGCTTCCTGAGCACTGGTGTTCCATAGAATGGAATGGCTGCAGGTTTTTTTCCTTGGTCAATTTGTGGTCTTTTCCTCTTGCTGTTGGGTTTGGGATGGTTTTTGGTTGGCTTCACTTTTTAGGTTTACAGAAGGATCAGGGGCAAGTGCAGGGAGCCCCCTGTAGTTGGCTCCCGTTGTTTCAGTCTGACATGCTTGTACATGGTTAGCCCTGCGCAGCCTTCGCCACCTGTTTTTCTACAGCCTGAGAGCATAGAATGGTGCTTCCTTTCCTGCACGAGCCAGAAGGCAGAAAGAACATGTCTGTGTCTAGGGGTCATACCACCCGTTTGCCTGTTGTCTGTGACCACTTCCCGCCTGGCCACAAGCCTGAGACAGAGGAAAGCCTCATGTGCCCAAAATACCTGTTCTCTAGCCATTTTTTTTTCAGTATTGGGGTTTGAACCCAGTACTACATGCTTGTTATTTTAAAAAATTTATTATAAAGGTGATGTACAGAAGGGCTACAGTAACGGAGGTCAGCTAATGAGTACATTTCTTTTTGGACAGTGTCACCCCTCCCCTTGCTGTGTTCCTTCCTGTTTCCCCACCTCCACACACAAGTTGTATAGCTCATTTCCGAAAGTGTCTGGTGCGTACCTCTGCTGCATCTGTTCACCTTTGTTTTGGTTATTTTTGAGATAGGGTCTTGCCTTTTTGCCTGAGCTGGCATGGGCCGTGACCCATTTTACACCACATGCCACAGCTCGGCTGGTGTGATGGGCATGGATGGCCAGACGCAGCTTTTATATTGGTTGTGATAGGGACTCCTAAACTTTTTGCCCAGGCCAGTCTCTAACTCTTAGCTTCTGCTTAGTTTCTCAAGCGGCTAGAATTTCAGGCATAAGCTACCATGTCTGGTCTGTCTGGCTATTTATGGAAACTATTTGTGGACTTCATTAAAAGACTAGAGGCTACTGGGGACCTCCGAGCATGTTTCCTTGTGGGACTTTGAGGTTGTCTGTCGGTCTATCTCTGGAGTGGTCAGCAGGCACAAGGCCACTCTGGAAGCGGGATAGGCATGAAGGGGCGTGGTGTCATGCACGCAGGGCCGGGGGTGGGGGGAGGAAGGGGAAAATGTCTTATATGAAGTTTGGGACCTGTAGGACAGCTCACATCAGTGGTGGTCACTCATGACCCCATTCTGCCCAGTGCAGCTGCAGAGTGGCCCTGGCCATTGCTGACCACTGTGTTACTGTCCAGCTACCCCTTCTGCCTGCTTTGGTTCTCTGTAAGCTTTCTTCCAGTGCTCTGCTTCCTGGGCTTCCACACAGGATTGTGCCCCTCAGAGAATTCCTGGTCCTGTCCCTGTTTTTGTGACCTGGCTTGGAATTAGTCTTTGTGGAGGTAACAGGTGAAACTGAGCCACGCCACAGCAGGGGAAGGGCCATGTGGCACCAGAGACTGAGATCAGAGTGATGTGGTCACAAGCCAAAGACACCAAGTATTTCCAGAATTATGGGGAGCTGCAGGAGGCAGGAAGGATACGTTTCCCTAGAGCCTTTGAGGGAGCTTGTTCCTGCCATACCTGTATCCTTCACTTATGTGGGTTCTAGACCTAAGAGGGAATACATTTCTGTTGTTAGCATCTCCTAGGCTGCTGGGGTGCAGGCTCATGCTTCTAATCCCAGGATTGTAGCTGGCGTCTAGCCTGGCTAGACAAATCTAACTTGTCTCCAGTGATCCTGCAAGAGCTGGAAGTGGAGGCATGGCTCAAATGATAGAGCCAAAAAACTAAGCAAGATCAGGAGGCCTTGAGTTCAAGCCCCAGTACTGGAACCAAAATAAAATCCCTCAGTCTGTTGGAGTGACGTGACAGCCCGCCATGTGCTGCTGTGCCTGTGAGCTGGGTGTGGGGACAGCTTGGTCATGATGGAGAGTGCTGGGCAAGATGTGCCCATGACCCCAGACCAGCCCGCAGGACGGCTTTTGTGTTGGGTGCCTTCTGGGAGGGAGGGGAGAGGTTAGGAGCCTGGCTCCAGGGCTCATTGCTGAGTTTGGGGTGCAGAGGAATTGGGGGGGCTTTCATTTTCTTTAGCAATGCCACTGGAGCTGGGACAGGCTGTTTGGTGGAATAACTCTAGAGAAACCCACTTAACCAAACTTTGTCTCCAAAGGGCTCCCCAGTGTTTAACAAGCCCACCGGGTCCGCCCTGCCCGTCCTCCCAGCCAGGGATGCTGGGTGCACCTTGCTTACACAGACCTTTCTGGAGGTGACATGGCACCAGACTAGGCAAGCTTCCATTGGATACTTTTGTGTGGACACTGTGGCTGGTGGCCTGTCCCCATAGCTGTTCTCTGCTGGCCTGGTCCTGGACAGAGTCCCCCTCCATGCTGGGCTCGGCTCAGACGGCAGGCCTGCCAGGCTAGGTTCTGGTCTCTTACTTTTGACTCAGAAACTTCAAGGGTCTTGCAGCCCATCGGTGGACATCTGTAGGTCTGGTCTAGCCACAGCTGCCAGCCTGCTGTGGCCCTCCAGACTTCATTCTGAGTCGTTCTGAGAGAGACGGGGTCTGATGGTCGCATATGTGCCGGGCTCGGTCTGCTGGTTGGCAGAGAGCTGGGCTGCAGCGCTCAGTCCTGGTGGTCCTGGGACAGAGGCCCACCTGGCTGTGCCTTGGTTTCCAGAGGTGGCTGAGGAAGCAGCTAGATGTCAGGACTAGACAGGAACCAGGTTCCATCCAGTGTGGGTGACTGATTCCTTACCATTGATGGGGAAACAGGCCCAGAGAAAGCCAGGCCCCGCCCAGGGTCCACCATGGAGAGGGAGGTGTTCTCCCTAGGACTCCTGGGATCCAGTGCGGCTTGAGTCCAGCCAGTTTGGTGCCAGCTTGGGCTCGAAAGGAAGAATGCCAGGGTCCTGTGAGCCTGCGGGCCAGTGCCTGGGGCAAGGGCACAGGCTCAGTCTGGGCACTGGGGCCTGCCTGGGAAGCAGAACCAACTTCCCAGAAGAGCAGGAGGCAACCTGTTGACCAGATCTTGAAGGACAGATCAGAGTTCACCAGCTTTTTGGGAGAAGAGCCAGAGGAGAAACTTGTCCAGGGCAACACATAAAATCAGAACTTGTGTGAACCCTTCTCTGGGGTATAATTGGGGTCACAGAGATCCCTGCTGCAGTTGGGCACCATGGAAGGCTGCTGTTGCTTTACTTTCCCCACCCGCTGCCTCAGTTTACCCAACAAGTCTTCAGTCTGGGCCCTGTTGCTGTGGTGTGTGCACCCTCTAGTGGCCAACTCACATTATGAGCTGGGGTTAGGAGCTGGCACCAGGAAGGGGCCTGTCCTCAGGAAGCGCAGGGATCTTTGTAGGGTTCCTTGTGGAGGAAGCAGGTGGACTAGCAGAGTCCACCCACTGTTCCAAGCCCTCACTTTGGCCAGGCACCACAAGACAGAGCAGTTGGCCCATGGGCCAGGCTATACCGGAGGCTCCGATCCCTTTATGTCTGGCCCCCAAGCTGCTTTGTGACTGCTGACAAGTGACTCCAGTATACCAGAAGTGATTCTGGCCCTGATATTTTTGGTTCTCTGGGTCCTTGGAACCAGGAAGAACTGGAATAAATGCATGAAGGGGGCGTGTCTGGCCCCAGCCGCCTTGGGAAGCATCTGTGTCAGGGTTGATAGGAACTGGCCTCGGGTTCCATGGGCATCTTCCACTGGAAGTTGTGATAAGTCCCACGGGCAGGCGTGGGCCTGAGACATGTCTATACGAGCCCTGCCTTCTGTTCTCTGGGCCCTGGGTCCCAGAGATGGCTCTTTAAGGTGTGATTTTCAACGTGGGCCTCGTGTCCCCAGGACCAGTCACCCCCGTGCGGAGGCTGCAGACCCCATCGCTCCACCGACCCTGGGAGAGTGAGGCCAGCCACAGGTGCTGGGAGCATTGATGGCCAGGGGATTGCCTGGACCTCTGGGGTGAGGGACCCGTGTCGCTTTCAGGAAAGGAGGGACTTGCTTGAGACCAGCATGGCCCGGCTTCCCTCTGCGCCAGCTCATGCCTAGCCCGGCTGCAGGTGCATCCTGGTTGGGGGAGGCACGCGGTCCCCTTGTCTGCTACTTGGGCGTAACTCTCAACACCATTCGCTTGCCCGTATTGTGAAGGGCTCCACCGGGAAGCATCTCAGCCCCCCAGGCTCGGCCCTGAGGCCCCATGGAGTCCGGGGAAGCGTGTCCTAGCACATATTCAAAGTGTGTGAAGGTGCCTTGCCTGTCCCTCACCTGTAGCCTCTGTTCAGAAACCAGGTTTGGGTCGCTAGGGTTAAGCGTCACATTCCGAGGGCCTGTTCTTAAGGCCCAGGTATGTGCAGTGGAGCCCTGCTAGTTGCTAGCCAAAGCCTGAACCCTTGGGTTTAGGCTGGGCTGAGGTCAGAACATGTGCAGCCCTGGAGATGTTTCTAGTCTCTGCCTTGGTAGTCGGGGGCGAAGTGACCTTTGATTCAGTGTTGGCATTGGGGGAGCCCTAGTGTCTGAAGACCTTCAGGCCTCTGGGCCCTGGGAAAGGTCAGGGCGTGGGGGAGGGTAATTCACTTGATGGACGTCCCCAGCCCTGCCTGGGAGCTCAACCGCAGAGCAAGATGAACACCTGCCCATAGAGCAGACATGGGGTCCCAAGCTGCAGGGAGAAGAGCTTCACGTACGAAGTGGCCATTCCATCAGGCAAGTGAGAAGAAACAGCCATGGTTGGGGCCAGCTGGGGGCTTCAAAAAGCAGGGCTGGAGGCTGAGGGCTGAGGTCTGGAGAAGGGCTTTCAGGAGAGCTGACAGAGACCCCGCTGGTGCAAGCCGGAGGGCCGGGCTGAGTGGCTTTCTTCTGGTTACTTGGCTCGTCCTCTATAAAGTAAGGAAACAATAGTGCCAACCACAGCAGGGCTCCTGTGAGGATGAACTGGTGACCATAGGAAGACCTGGGTGACCGCAGACCCCCGAGCCCGGCCCTTATCTCCGCAGGGGCCGAGGAGGTGCTGCTGCTGGCCCGGCGGACGGACCTGCGGAGGATCTCTCTGGACACGCCGGACTTCACCGACATCGTGCTGCAGGTGGACGACATCCGGCACGCCATCGCCATCGACTACGACCCTCTGGAGGGCTACGTGTACTGGACGGACGACGAGGTGCGGGCCATCCGCAGGGCCTACCTGGACGGCTCGGGCGCGCAGACGCTGGTCAACACGGAGATCAACGACCCCGACGGCATCGCCGTGGACTGGGTGGCCCGCAACCTCTACTGGACCGACACGGGCACCGACCGCATCGAGGTCACGCGCCTCAACGGCACCTCCCGCAAGATTCTGGTGTCCGAGGACCTGGACGAGCCCCGAGCCATCGTGCTGCACCCTGTGATGGGGTAAGGCCGGGCTGTGGGCAACGGCTGTGGGGGGGGGGCGCACGCGGCACCCCTGGGGCCAGCGGTGGGCAACGGCCGTGGGGGCGCACAAGGGGTGCACACGGCACCAGAGGCCTGGAGGGGAACGGTGCAGAGGGAGGCCTGGGCCAGGACCTGGTGGGTGGGGCGACCCTGTGGGCGGGGCCTCCTCAGTGTGCCTAGCCAATGGGGCAGGGCTTCAGAGTTCCTAGCCCAGGGGCAAGGCTTCTCCCCTTCCTAGCCAGTGGGCGTGGCCTCGGTTCCTAGCCAACGGGTGAGGCCTCTCCCCTCCGAGGCTGGTGGGCGGGGCCTCCCCAGAACAAGGAAATGATGGGCCGGGGCTCCTCCCTTGTGGGGCGGGGCCTCCTGGGTGCTGCTGAGGCTGCTGGTCCGTGGACCAGATTTTGGGAAGCACCGGGGCAGGCTGTTGTCTGATGCGTGGGGAAACCTGGAGACCATTGGGCTTTCATTTGTCCTCATTCTTTTCTTTTTTATTGTTGTTGGTATGAGGTTTGAGCTCTGAGCTTCATGCTGTCTAAGCAGGATGGTTCTACTGCTTGAGCAAAAGCTCCCTCCCTGGACCCAGAGTCCTCATTCCAATTTTCCCTTTTAAATCTCTGTGCAAGCGATGAGCTTATGGGTCAGCGTGGGGCCTGCGAGACCCAAGGCAACTCGGAGGGTTGTCCAGTGCCTTCCTGGGGCTCCTGACTCCACCTGAGGTGGGGGTGTGTGGTGCTCTAGGGTTGGGGCTGGGGTACACTTGATGTCATGTCGGCTGTGTCCTGAGATGCCCTGGAGCTGAAGGACAGAGGCAGTGGCTGCTGAGGACCCAGGGGCACCAAGTGTGTCTCCTATGCGTGGGCCAGAGCAGGTTATGACTGTCTGTGCCTGGCCTCCCTCCTGTGGAACCCTAGCCAGACTGCCAGCACTTGGCGAGCACTCTGATGGATGCTGCCATATGCATTTGCTTCTTTTCCAGCCTCATGTACTGGACAGACTGGGGGGAAAACCCCAAAATCGAGTGTGCCAACTTGGATGGGCGGGAGCGACATGTCCTAGTGAACACCTCCCTCGGGTGGCCCAATGGCCTGGCCCTGGATCTGCAGGAGGGCAAGCTGTATTGGGGTGATGCCAAGACTGACAAAATTGAGGTAAGTTGTACACATGGGACAGAGGACAGGGGCATGGGACAGAGGGCAGGGCCACGGACTGAGGGAGTGGGTGGGCTCAAGAAACCCCTTGGTGCAGCTGCATACCATGTGGCCAGGTGCTGTATTGCTGCCCTTAAACCCTGACTTTCCTGCAGAGCCACGCGTGTGGGCATGGTGGCTCGTCACATGTATGTGAGTACTGATGAATGCCTGTGTTCTGATGCTTGGTCAAATGGAAGTCTTAAAATTTTAATGTAAATTTTTTATTTGCTGGTACTGGGATTTGAACTCAGGGTCTTGCTCTTGACAAGTAGGCACTTTACTACTTGAGTCATATCCCCAACCCTTTTTGCTTTAGTTGTTTTTCTTTCTTTTTTTGGGGGGGGGGTCCGGTTGTGGGGCCTGAACACTGTCCCTCAGCTCTTCAGCTCAAGGCTAGCGCTCTACCACTTGAGCCACAGCGCTACTTCTAGCTTTTTTCTTTTTGCTTATGTGGTGCTGAGGAATCGAACCCAGGGCCTCATGCATGCAAGGCAAGCACTCTACCACTGAGCCACCTTCCCAGCCCAGCTTTAGTTGTTTTTCAAATAGGGTCTCTAATATGCCCAGCCAGGCTTGCCCTCTCAGGAGCCCTGGCGGGGGTAGGGGGGGTGGGCAGACACGAGTGAGACAACACAGACAAGCCATGGGATTTCACACTGCTTCTCAGCAAAAAGAGCCTTGGCACTGTGGGTGAAGGGAACTCATCAGGAGCACTCAAGGTGAAGGCACCACCTTGAGGTGGGCTGTTACCTTAATTGCAGGGCCAGGGCATGGCCATCTGGGTTTTATGAGGGAGCCTCTGTGATGGGGAAAGAGCCATTTCTTGCTCCTTCTCATGTCTGCCTGACACCTCAAGTACATGGGGCCAAGCAACTATGGGCTGATCCCTCAGAAACTTGAGCAAATTGAATCTTTCATGCTTTACGTTGCTTTGATAGCAATGTGAGCTACCTACTACAGAAAATGGGTACCAGAGAAGTGAGGTCATCATGGTGACTGGATCTAACCATGTGGCTTTTAGACCTTGGGAACTAGATTGGGAGAGTTTGGAGAAGCAGACTAGAGAAGAGAGAGCCCTTTGTGCCCTGCAAGCAGAGCTTATTGGGCACCTCAGAAGACCAGAGTGCTGGTGGAAATGCACAGTAAATCTGTGCTCCTAAGGCTTCAAGAGGAAGTGAGGGCTCTGTTGGAAATCGGACCACCCAGATTTCAGAGGAAGGCCTGGGAGGTCAGGCCCTGGCTGACCCTGGCATGTCGGAGTCCCTGAGAGGGCCATGTGTGGAGGCCTGCGAGGGGAGACCGAGCTGTAGTGCAGATCCCCCGAAGTCACAGATGCCAAAAATGTGGAACTCTGCCACCAAGGAAAGCTGTAGGCAGCCAGTGGTGCTGGCCCAGAGGGAGGGCATGTGGCTGCAGATCATAGCCCTAGGGGGGGGCTGCCCATTGTGGCAGGACGTGCCCCCAGAGGTATGGAGCTATAGGACTTAATGTTTGCTGGGCTCAGTTTCAGTTCTGTTTCTTTCTGATCCTTTCTTGATGTCCTCCTGTGGTCCTTTCTTTTAGAATGGGAATGTTTATTCTGTGTCTTGGAAGTATTCATTTACTTTTTGCGTTTACAGGGACTCACAGCTATGGGTTTTGCCTAGAGTCTCGGTAGAGACTCTGGATGTCGACTTTTGTACCATCTTGGAACTATGAGCCTCTTTGGAGGCCTGGGTCAGAAGGCTAGGGCTGGGATATGAACTGTCTCACACATGCTCACGTGTTGAATACTTGGTCCTCAGCTGGTAGGGCAAGTTAAGGAGATGCTGAGAAATATAGCAAGCAGGCCTAGTTGGAGGAAGTATGTCACTGGGGGTGTAACTTTGAAAGTCACATGTGTTCACTTCCTCTTTCCCTACTTCCTGTCTGTCATGAGATGAACAGCCTCCTCTACATGCTCCCACCTGCTGCCATGATGTTCTATCCAAGGGCCGGGGGCCTATGGGCTGAATTCTCTGAAAGCAGGTGCTGAAGAGAGCTCTCCCCCTTTACATTGCTTTTCTGGAGTATGGGAACACAGACCCCAAAGCCCACCTCTGGAGGCCCAGGTTGTGGAAGGAGACAGAATTCTAGCACAGGGAGACTGCATCTTCACGGGTGAAAGGAAGACTTCCAGATATATTATTACGGAAGGGTGGAGCCCAGGGCCTTTACATGTTAACTCAGTGTTCCACCACTGAGACTGAGCTAAACCCAACCCCTACATTGCTGTGGCACTTCCTGTGACTTGGTGACATTTCCAAGAGGTTTTGTTGGAAGGCAGCCACGTGCTGGCTGTGCCAGTGGCCAAGAATTCTGAGCCACCAACTTAGGGAGGAAGGATTGAATCCAGCGTGGTTTGGTGGTGTGTGGCCTGGCTCTGGGCAGAGCACAGCCCCCGGAATACAGCCCTGCATGCTGGAATTGGCTGCCCTGGGAAGAACGTCACTGCCAGCTACACTGCTCCCTTGATGGCCTGGGAGAAGAACGCAGGTCTGGGAGAGCCGGCGAGCTGGTGAAGTGGGTGTATTTAGACAGTGTTAGGGCACAGGCAGATCAGATTGATCCTGAGGGGGTATCCACGTGGGGTCTCCTGCCAGCCTTGCCTGTGACAGCAGTCCTTGGAAATCGGGTTGGAAGCCAGCCTGAGCAGGGACAGCGGGGAGTTAAGGGTGGCTCCCAGAGTGGGCCCAAGCCACCCCCACTGCCTCTCCGTGGGAAGCAGTCCTGAGCTTCCTCCCTGCTGCTGGGTGGGGCCCAACCAGGTCAGCCTGAGCGGGTTGGAGCTGTAGCTGGGGACCTCAGTGGTGAGGGCTGGGGTCCTGGCATTCTGCCCATCTCCTCTTTTGCTTTCCCCAGTTGCCACGACTGTTTGCTTTCCTAGTCTACTGGGTTAGAAACTCCAGTGTTATGCTGTCTTTGCCTCTGGGCTGCCTCCTGAACCCCCTGTCAAGCCTAGAGCCCCTCAGGTACCCTCTGCCACAGTCTGCTTACCTGGGGACAGCCTCCTGTGTGTGTCCACCTCCCTGCCCCTGGGCAGGCTCACAGCTGGCCTGGCTGTGAGCTCTGGACCTGCTGTCTTTATGTCAGCCGTATGCAACCACATTTGCAAAAGTGACCAGGTCAGTGAACACCCTAGAGTAGGGGTGGGGAATGACCAAGGGCCATTTCAATATTTATAACATCAGGGCCTGGGAAGGTGGCTCAGTGGTAGAGCGCTTGCCTCGTATGCATGGGGCCCTGGGTTCAATTCCTTAGCACCACATCAGCAGAAAAAGCCAGAAGTGTTGCTGTGACTCAAGTGGTAGAATGCTAGCCTTGAGCTGAAAAGCTGAAGACTCAGAGTTCAGGCCTCATGACCGGGGGGATATAACAGGCAGATGGCGGCCACCAAAAAATAGATGAGAGGGGACCTTGGTGACTCAAGCTAGTCATCCTAGCTACACAGGAGGCTAAGATCTGAGAATTGTGGTTTGAAGCCAACTTAGGAAAATCTGTGACTCTTTATTTTTTTTTGGTCCAGTTGTGGGGCCTGAACTCTGGGCCTGGGCACTGTCCCTCAGCTCTTCAGCTCAAGGCTAGCGCTCTACCACTTGAGCCACAGCGCCACTTCCGGCTTTTTTCTTTTTGTTTGTGTGGTGCTGAGGAATCGAACCCAGGGCCTCAGGCATGCAAGGCAAGCGCTCTACCACTGAGCCACCTTCCCAGCCCTGAGACTCTTACCTCTAGTTAACCAGCAAAAAAGCCAGAAGTGAAGGTGTGGCTCAAGTGGTAGAGAGTCGCCTTTAGGATATAAAAAAAACTAAGGGACAGTACCCAGGCCTAGAGTTCAAGCTCCAATAACAGCACCATAAAAGGAAGGTAGGGAGGGAGTGAAGGAAGGATGGGAAGAGAAGAAAGGAAGGGAGGGAGGAGTATGAGAAACATACATGTCATACATGTCAATCTGACCTGTCATGTACTAAATTATTTCACAGGCCTTATATGTCCTGTGGACCAAATATTGCCCATTCTTGTCCTATTGGTTGAGATGGGGGTCTCACCAACTTTTTGCCTGGATTCGCTTGGACTCTCAATCCTTCTGGTCACTCCCTACCAGATAATTGGGATCAAAAGCATGAACACTGTACCTAGCTCAGTTTGGGCAGAAAACCAGAATACTTCATGATCTATGAAAATAATGAAGAATTCAAAATTCAGGGTTTGCCAATGAGCTTTGTACTGTTCAATCTGTAGGTAGGTTGAGACTGAGCTGTCCGTTTTCTTGGGTGTGGGATCATTTTCTTCCTGATGTTCACATGCTGCCCCTTTGTCCCCTCTCCTGCCCTAGTTGGCCTGCAGAGAGGGGGTGCAGGGTCCCCAGGCTGTGCCAGGCGGTGCCTGTCCTGGCTGTGTTGGTCTCACTGTACTTCTGGGGCCATAATCCCAGGGAGAGCTCCTCCACCCGACTCCAACCCACACCACGCTCTACCTCCTGTCCCGTGTGGTTTTGTGATGGACCAGCCATACAAAGGTGTTCTACACAGACTTGCATTGCTCTGTGTGTGTGTGTGTGTGTGAAAGAGAGAGAAAGAGAGTGTACTAGGGTAGGCAGGTGTTTGTCTACTTGAGCCAAGCCCTCAGCCCTTTTGGCTTTCATTATTTTTCCAATAAGGTCTTATACATATGCTTGAGTCAGCCTACACTGCAATCCTATGTGTGCTTCCCATCTTCCTGGGATGATAGTTAGGAGCCATTGTACCCAACTTTTATAATTCAAGATGGAGTCTTTGAAACTTTTTTTTTTTTTGCCAAGTTGATCCCCGACTATGATCCTGTTGATTTCTGTGTCCCTTGTAGTTAGGATTACAGGTGTCCGCTGTGGTGCTCAGCAGCATTGTTTTGTGTTTTCTTGTGTGGGCAAAACACAAACAAGAACACTGGACTGTGTGGACTGAGCTCTGCGCATCTCCGCTTATACTGCTCACCTGAGCTGCTGGCCTGGGGAGAGAGCTCAGCCTAAGGCATCGGTGCAGCCTCAGGTGAGGCCACAGATTGCACCTGGGCTGCTCCACCTGCCCAGGGAGTGGCCTTAATGAGCCTCTCACTCTGATTTAATGACTGTAGATTGGAGCCAGGGTCCTTTGTTTTGTGCCATTGCCTGGGTGATCTCGCTACTGCCTAGTACAATCCTGTTATGATGGGGAAGCTGAGGCCCAGGATACAGAATACCAACACATGGGCAGAACTGGGTGGGAGCCCTGATTGCCAGTGCCAGGTTGTTTGCTCTTCCCAGGGGACAGCAGTTTTGTTTCTTGCCATCCAGTGGTGTTGTCTGCTCAGACCATGACGCTTCTGCCTTGTATTTTTGCCACCTGCAAAACAGCATTTGTAGCTTTTCTGATAAGCTGGGAGTGGGGGGCCTGCCTAGGAAGGCTTCCATTGCCCGGCACTGGGATGATGCTTCTGCCTGGCTGGGGGTTGTTCCAGTCCCACCTTGGCCCCGGCGTCTCTGTTTCAGCTGGAGAAGGCATTTGCTGTTTAGCTGTGACCTCTGGGGCTTTGTGGAGGTTGCTTCCAATCCACACTGACTCTTGCAGAGAAGGGTGGCGCATCCAGGTGGCTGGTGGCACACTGCACCGGGATGAAGGCAGCTCAGATCTGCAGGCCTGAGCTCTGCGGAATGCCTCTGGCCCTGAGTGAGCAAGTGATTAGCTCAGGGGGACGCAGAACAAACTTGCACAGAAACTGTGATTGCCCAACACTTCCAAGCATCTTGTGTTGGTTGTGATTCATGGCTCAAAGCCAGCCAGAGGGACTGGGAAGGTGGCTCAATGGTAGAGTGCTTGCCTTGCATGCATGAAGTTCTGGGTTTGATTCCTCAGCACCACATAAGCGGAAAAATCTGGAAGTGGTGCTGTGGCTCAAGTGGTAGGGCACTGGCCTTGAGCTGAAGAGCTGAGAGACAGCACCCAGGCCCAGAGTTCAGGCCCTATGACCGACCGAAAAAAAAAAAAAGTCAGAGCAAGAAAGTCCATGAGACTCTTATCTCCTAATTAAACCGCAAAAAGCTGGAAGTGGAGGTGTGGCTCAAGAGGCAGAACACCAACCTGGAGCAAAAAAGCTCAAGGACAGTGTCTAGATCCTGAGTTTAAGCACCAGTATCCCCCCCTCCCCCCTCCCCACACGCCATTTGTCCATCACTCCAGAAACAATTGCACTTAGCATGTCTCAGTACCTGGCAAGGTGTAGAAGAAGCGGAAGCTCCTGGGGTGGAATGTGCCTCTTGGGGGCAGGTTCAGGGTTGGCGCTCACTGGCACGGCCCCACCCATCCAGACCTGCGTCCCTGCCGTCCCACAGGTGATCAATGTGGACGGCACGGAGAGGCAGACCCTGCTGGAGGACAAGCTCCCGCACATTTTCGGGTTCACGCTGCTGGGAGACTTCATCTACTGGACGGACTGGCAGCGGCGCAGCATTGAGCGGGTGCACAAGGTCAAGGCCAGCCGGGATGTCATCATCGACCAGCTGCCTGACCTCATGGGGCTCAAAGCAGTGAACGTGGCCAAGGTCTTTGGTGAGTTGGGGGGACCCTGAGCCCTGGCTCTGCCAGCCTGACTGGCCCAGGAAGGAACAATAGGTCCAGCCTGGATGTGAGAATCCAGCGGGGGTGCCCTACTCTGGGGAAGTGCAGGACATGAATGGGGACAGGATCCGGTAAGGGACAGGTGGCATCTTGCCTGGAGACATGCCCTCAGTAGTGAGTCTAGACCAGGAACGTTGCTGATCGTTGTGGCTAAGTTTGCCAAGTGCCCCAGGCTTCAGGGCTGGGGTGTTCAAGGAACCTGTTTGCTAATCACAGCAATTGCCTCACAGACACCAAAGAGAAGGAGGCAAGGCTATGCAGCCGAGCTTGGAACTTGCTGGGTCTGCCCACCCTAGGCCTCAGGAAACCTCTGCCTGCTGAACGTGTAGCTGGTGAGAGGGCCCAGCTTAGCTCTGCCACCAGGTGGGTGGCTGGAGCTGTGATGTGAGTGGATTTGAAACGAGAGGAAATGCTGGAGCATAGACCTGAGGGAGCAGGCAGGCAGGATGTGCCCGCCAGCGCCATGGTTGAGCAGAGACCTGGCGTGGGAATGGCGGCTGATCTCACAGGCAGCTCATGCTTTCTGTTGCCATTATAAAACACATAAAAACATACTGTGCCTAGTTACTTAGAAGGCTGAGATCTGAAGATTGCAGTTCAAAGCCAGCCCAGGCAGGAAAATCCATGAGACTTTTATCTCCAGTAAACTATTCAACAAAAGACAGAAGTGGCCGGGCGCTGGTGGCTCACGCCTGTAATCCTAGCTACTCAGGAGGCTGAGATCTGAGGATCGCGGTTCAAAGCCGGCCCAGGCAGGAGAGACCATGAGACTCCTATCTCTAATAAACCACCAGAAAACCGGAAGTGGCACTGTAGCTCAAGTGGTAGAGGGCTCGCCTTGAGCTGAAGAGCTGAGGGACAGCGCCCAGGCCCAGAGTTCAAGCCCCACGGCCGACAAAAAAAAAAAGACAGAAGTGGAACTGTGGCTCAAGTGGTAGAACACTAGCTCTGAGAAAAAAAAAAAAAAAAGCTCATGGATAGCTCTGAGGCTCTTGAGTTCAAGTCCCAGGACCAGCACACACACACACACACACACAGATATGCACACACAAAAAACCCTAAAATCGAAACAGCAAAACCCAGCCATGGTTGTGTTGGGGGTAGCAGTGCATACCTGCAGTCTCAGCGTTTGGGAGGCTTAGACTGGAAGATGGCAGGTACAAGGCCAGCTTGTGCTACCTCCCCATACTTCTCCATACTCGCAAAATAGAATCAAGCAAAGACACTCAGTATCCATTGTGGAAGGTGAGAGCCGTCTGTGTTTGTTAAAGAAACCGAGAAGAAAAGGAAAAAAAAAAAACCTATCACCATGGGGATACAGTTTAAGGTTGGGAAATTGGGATTCTCTCTTATCTCATGATTTATTGATGGGTATAGGGGAGAAAAAGATTTGGTTTTTAGCTTAAACACAGCACTAGGTTTAAAAATACTTTTATTGACACTTCAGGAGCTATGAGATATGCTTCTAAGATAATGAACTGGCCCAAAATAAAAGGACACATTATTTCTGTCTGTTTTAATAAAGAGGTGCATTTAGCACCTGTGTCTCACACTTGTAATCATAGCTACTCAGGAAGCTGAGATCCAGAAGATGACAGTTCAAAGCCAGCCTAGCCAGACAAGTCAGAATAACCAGCAATATGCCAGGTTAGAGGTGTGGCTCCAGCTGAGTAAGCAAGAAACCCCAAATTCAAACCTGGGGGAGGGGGTGTATTGAAATTGACTGTTCTGGGCAAAACCTGAGATTTCTGAGGTGGCTGAAGGCGTCAGTAAATCAGGGAATATTCTAGAAGGGTCATGGGAACCAGTCCTATCAGCAGGCCAGGAGTTGAGGTTCCAGGAGAGGGAGTTAGGCCAGTCACTGGTTCTCTGGTTCTTGGTGGGCTGGGTGGAGCTGGGACGGGGCTGGGCAGTGTGGGTCAAGGTCTTGTCCAGCCTGCTGAGCCTATTCCTACAAAGCTTCCTGTGCCTTAGTTTCTTCACCGAGAATAGGGATGAGAATAGTTGCTTCTGCTGAGGTGGTGATGGAGGGAGTTCATGCAAACACCTGGGACTGGTGCCTGGTGCCTGGCAGGACCTGATGTATGCTCACCGCCACGTGAGGCCATGGCCTGGGGCGCTGGGCAGAGGAGGGCGGAGGAGGTCCAGAGCCATGTGTCTGCCTCCAGGAACCAACCCGTGCGCAGAAGGGAATGGGGGATGCAGCCACCTGTGCTTCTTCACACCCCAGGCCACCAAGTGTGGCTGCCCAATCGGCCTGGAGCTGCTGAGTGACATGAAGACCTGCATCGTGCCGGAGGCCTTCCTGGTGTTCACCAGCAGAGCCACCATCCACAGGATCTCCCTGGAGACCAACAACAATGACGTGGCCATCCCCCTCACGGGCGTCAAGGAGGCCTCTGCGCTGGACTTTGACGTGTCCAACAACCACATCTACTGGACAGATGTCAGCCTGAAGGTACGGCCTGTGCATCCGTACCGCCTGCAGCTTTCCTGTGGGGACCTGGCCCACAGGTTCATACCTACAGTGCTGAACACTTCCTTAAGGAACTGTCTTACTGCCAGGTACCAGTGGCGTGCGCCTGTATTCTTAGCTACTCAAGAGGTTGAGATCTGGGGATCATGGTTCACAAAGCTAGTCTAGCCTATCAAGTCTATGAGACTTATCCCAATTAACCACCCAAAAGCTGGAAGTGGAGGTGTGGCTCACATGGTAGAGCACCCACCTTGAGCAAACAAGCTCATGGACAGCACCCAGGCTCTGAGCATAAGCCTCGGTGCGTGCACACACACACGCACACGCACACGCGCGCGCGCACACACACACACACACCTATTACATTGATCATTACACTTGTTTGGGCAGTGCTAGGGCATGAATTCAGGGCTTTCTATTTGTTAGGCAGGTGCTCTATCACTTGAGTCACACCTCCAGACATGTATCTCTGTTTTGTTAAGTTTTGAAATTATCTTAAAACAAAGTTATGTCAGCTCAACAAATCTGTTTGTAAGTACAGTGTATTTTGGTCAGTGTTTCCCCCCTTCCATCGTTCTCTCCCATTTCTCCCAACCGCACCCATCCCCTCAAGTTACCTGGCTCCGTTTTCACACATGTACATTGAGTAGGATGACTATATTCTCCCACCTTTCCCCTCTCCGTTTGTCTGACCATTCCCCCCGTGCACCTGGTTGACAGGTAAATGTGAATGATTGTGACATACAGGTCTAGCACACATCGCTGCGGGCTTTCACAAGGTGCTGTATGATGTGAAGACATTAGAACTTGGCAGTGACATGTAACTTCCCACCTGCTGCTGCTTTCTTTTCTCACAGAAATCTTTTTCTTCATTCACAGTGCAAATCTAACCATTTGGGGGAAATGCAGGCAAAGTCCCTTCTCTCTCTCTCTCTCTCTCTTTTTTTTTTTGATTGGTCATGGGGCTTGAACTCTGAGCCTGGGCGCTGTCCCTGAGTTCTTCAACTCAAGGCTAGTGCTCTACTGATTGAGCTACAGTGTCACTTCCAGTTTTCTGGTGGTTCATTGGAGATAAGAGTCTCACAGACTTTCCTGCCCGGGCTGGCTTTGAATTGTGATCCTCATGTCTCAGCCTCCTGAGTAGCTAGGATTACAGGCGTGAGCCACTGGCACCCCGCACATTATATTACTTTTTTTTTTTTTGGTCGGTCGTGGGACACGAACTCTGAGCCTGGGTGCTGTCCCTAAACTCTTCAGCTCAAGTCTATTGCTCTACCACTTAAGCCAAAAAGCAGGAAGTGGAGGTGTGCCTCACATGGTAGAGCACCAACCTTGGACAAAAAAAATCTCAGAGACAGCACCTAGGCCCTGAGTTTTAGCCTCAGTGCTGGTATTCACACACAAAAAAGAACTACTCTATTGATCATTACACAATGATCAAGTGGAGCCACAGCTTTACTTCTGGTTTTCTGGTGATTAATTATAGGTAAGAGTCTAATAGACTTTCCTGCCCAGGCTGGCTTTGAACCATGGTCCTCAGATCTCAGCCTCACAGATACTTCTGCTAGATGCAGTAGGGTACTTTTTCCCAATTCCAAAGATATTCACAGTAGACCTCTTTTTTCTGTACTTTTAAAAAGTTCTTTGTTTTGCACTGTGTGTGTGTGTGCGCGCGTACTCACACATTTATGTGCCAGTCTTGGGGCTTGAGCTCAGAGTTTGGTATGGTCCCTGAGGTTTTTTGCTCAAGGCTAGTGGTGTACCACTTGAACCACAGCTCCACGATGGAAATTTTCTTGCCTTTTATATTTTGGTTTGCATCTTGGGATAGTTTCAGGAGGAAGATTACTGGGTAAAAGTGTGTAAGTGAGGGTTTTCTTGTTGTTGTTTGTTTTGCTGGTCCTTGAGCTTGAACTCAAGGCCTGAGTTTTTTGCTAAAGAAGCAAAAAATGCTCTATCACTTGACCACTTGAGCCATAGCTCTACTTCTCACTTTTTTGGTGGTTTTATTGGAGATAAGAGTCTCAAGGAGCAGGGTGTTGGTGGCTCATACCTGTAATCCTAGCTACTCAGGAGGCTGAGATCTGAAGATCTTGTTTCAAAGCCAACCTGGGCAGGAAAGTCTATGAGACTCTTATTTCCAATAAACCACTCAGAAAACCAGAAGTGGTACTGTGGCTTAAAGTGGTAGAGCACTTGACTTGAGCTGAAGAGCTGAGGGGCAGTGCTCAGGCCCAGAGTTCAAGCCCCATGACTGACCAAAAAAAAAAAGTCTCAAGGCATTTCCTGCCTGCGTTGGCTTCAAACCACACACAGCTCTCAGATTCCAGCATCCTGCGTATGTAGGATTAAAGGCATGAGCCACTAGTATCCGGCTATACAACTGTTTTTAAGACCTTTGATAACTGTGTATGTGTGTGCACATGTGTGTGGATATACATGTGTGTTTATTATCATATGTATATATCCAAGCTGCTTTTTTTTTTTTGTCAGTTGTGGGGCTTGAACTCTAGGCCAGGGTGCTGTCCCTCAGCTATTCAGTTCAAGGCCGAGTGCTCTACCACTTGAGCCACAGCACCACTTTACTGCCTGGGCTGGCTTTGAACCACGATCCTCAGATCTCAGCCTCCTGAGTAGCTAGGGTGACAGGCATGAGCCACTAGTGCCCAGCCAAGCTGATTTTTTTTAAGTGTTTGTTATATTTATTGTTTTATTTAATTATTTTTGTGCTGGTAATAGGGCTTGAACTCAGGGCCTTGCACTCATACTTGGCTTTTTCACTCAAGGCTGGCACTCTACTACTTGTACCATAACCCCACTTCTGGCTTTTTACTGTTAAGTGGAGATAAAGTCTCTGATTTATCTGTTTGTGCTGACTTTGAACTGCAATCCTCAGATTTCAGCCTTCCGAGTAGCCAGGATTATAGGTATGAGCCGCTATCATTGCTCAGTTTCAAATGTTTTGTTTTGCTTTTTGCAGGTCCTGGGGCTTGAACTCAGGGCATGGGCACTGTTCCTGAGCTTTTATTTTTGCTCAAGGCTTAGTGCTCTACCATTTGAACCACAACTCCACTTCCAGTTTTTTGTGGTTAATTAGATGAGTGTCACAGACTTTTCCTGCCAACGCTAGCTTCAAACTGTGATCCTCAGATCTTAGCCTCCTGAGCAGCTAGGATTATAGGCATGGACCACTGGCACCTAGCTTCAAATGTTTGTTTTAAGACTCTGTAGTATTGATGATCTGGCCCCACATGTGGCCAGTAGTTGCTCTAGTTGGGCCAGCATTTGTCTATAAATGTGATGCTGGTGCCTAACTCCTCCCTTTTCCTCCTCCCCTGTCCCAGACCATCAGCCGAGCCTTTATGAACGGCAGCTCCGTGGAGCATGTGATCGAGTTTGGACTGGACTACCCTGAAGGCATGGCCGTGGACTGGATGGGCAGGAACCTCTATTGGGCTGACACCGGGACCAACAGGATCGAGGTGGCCCGGCTGGATGGCCAGTTTCGGCAAGTCCTGGTGTGGAGGGATTTGGACAACCCCAGGTCACTGGCCCTGGATCCCACCAAAGGGTAAGGGCCAGTTTGGTCATCGTGTGTCCCTGTGCAGTGGTGCTGACTGGCCATCTTGGGGGTCTCTGCCTGGTATTTGGAGGTCAGGGTTTTGTTTGACCACCATTAACCTTTAAGGTGTCTGGCGTTGGCCAAGACCCTTGGGGATCATCTGGCTCTCTCCCCAAGGAGAAACGGTGGCTGGAGTGGAAGGATAGGGTGGAAGCTGTTGTGGTATGCTGAGCGAGACCTGACACCTCAGCTGTCTTGAAATCAGATCCACAGAACAGCCAGGCTGGGTTTCACTCTCTGATCTTACGGACACAGAAACTAAGTTCAGAGAAGTTGAATGACTCCCCCAAGGTCCCATGGTCAGTTAGAACAGCACCGGACTGACATTGGCATCTCATCAGGCCCATTGCGGGGCCAAGCTATTATCTCCCATCCCAGCCTGAAGGCTGATGTCCTTGGAAGTCAGGCTGCTTGGAAATGGCCCCTTGCAGGCCCTGGAGCTGCAGCTTAAGAGCCACCTCAGAGGCAGCCTGGGTCTCTGCCCTGGGCACCAGGGCCAGATAGGCCACAAGCAGAGCTCCTGGACCTGATGTCCCTTTCTGTTCAGGGACATAGAGCCCACCCTGTAGTGCATCCACAATGCGTGTGTCACAGCCTGAATTCTGCTCACACATGCTCTCTTAGGGCGGGAGGCATGGTCTCAGATGAAAGGGTAAGAAGAAAGGTCTCAGGTGGACACAAGGCCATATAAGCCTTCCAGGATCCTGGATGGATGGATGGGCAGGAGAAGAGGAAGGAGGAGGAGCTGATGGGGCAGCACAGAGCCCCCTGCTGCACCTCCTTTGCCTTGGGCGCTGAGGAAAGGATCTTTTATCTCAGCTTGCCTCTGTTGTCTTGGTTCATGCATCATCCTAGCTACTTAGTTACTTTGTCTCCACCAAACCATCCCATCTCAGCCATCTGTTTCACAATTGCTTCTCTGTGGGTCTGCTGTGTGGCTGCACCTGCATGTCTACCTGGCTGGCAGGTGAGGCAGGGCAGGAAGGAGGGTGAGATCATTTGCGTCAGCCTTTGGGGGGAGTTAGCCCCCCTCCTGCGGTATCTGGGGGCCCTTCCTGCCTCTTGTTGCATCATCACTTCCTGGCTTCACCCCGGGTTGAGGGCCGAGCTGAGGAGGTGGTGATGGTGATACTGCCCATGCTACATTTTGTCTTGCTCTGGACAAGGACCCACAGAGCTGCCCCTCCCCTCCCCATGCCTTCCAGCTACATCTACTGGACTGAGTGGGGCGGCAAGCCAAGGATCGTGAGAGCCTTTATGGATGGAACCAACTGCATGACACTGGTGGACAAGGTGGGCCGGGCCAATGACCTCACCATTGACTACGCTGACCAGCGGCTCTACTGGACTGACCTGGACACCAATATGATCGAGTCATCCAACATGCTAGGTGAGGGGTGGGCACTACAGGTGGGCAACAGGGCACTAGCTTTTCCTAAGCTTTTTACTGATGATTTTTTTTTTTTTTTTTTTTTTGCCTGTCATGGGGCCTGAACTCTGGGCCTGGCCGCTGTCCCTCAGCTCTTCAGCTCAAGGCTAGTGCTCTACCACTGGAGCCACAGCGCCACTTCTGGCTTTTTCTGTTTATGTGGTGCTGAGGAATCGAACCCAGGGCCTCATGCTTGCAAGGCAAGCGCTCTACCACTGAGCTACTTTCCCAGCCCTTACTGATGATTTTAAAGAGAAACAAACCAAAAACCCACTTCTAAAACTTTTCCATGAGATAGGAAAGGACTATGATCAAACTCATTCCATGAAGCCAGTATTACTCTGATACCAAAGCCAGAGAAAGACATAACAAAAAAGAAAGCTGGACTCTGGTGGCTCACATCTGAAATCCTAGCTACTCAGTAGCCTGAGATTTGAGGATTGCAGTTTGATGCCAGCCCAGGCAGAAAAGGCCCCATGAGACTTTTATCTCTAGTTAACCACTCAAAAACTGGAAGTGACATTTGGCTCAAAGTGGTAGAGTGTTAGCCTTGAGCACAAAGAGGCTCAGGGTCAGCGCCTAGGCCCTAAGTTCAAGCCCCACAACCCTTCCCCCCCCCCAAAAAAAATCCTCAATTGCTGAGTTTAACAACACATTAAAAAGATCATATACTATGATCAACATAGTTTAATTCTAGGAATGCAAGGATGGTTCTACATGAAACTCTGTAAATATAATAGGGCACATAGAATTAAAGATAAAAATCACGTCACCTCCTCATTAGGCACAGAAAGGGCCTTTGACATAATTCAATATCCCTTCATAATCAAAACGCAGAACCTTAGGATGGAAGGTATTTACCATACTTAAGGCAGATATACAACTAATCTACAGTCAACACTGTACTCAGTAGTGAGAAGCTAGAAACATTTCCTCTAAAACTAGAAAAGGTACAAAGATGTGCTGCTGTGTCCACTATTATTCAATATAATAACATATTACTCTATTATTACGTATTGCTAGTGTATATTATTCTTAGCCAGAGCAATAAGGTAAGACAAAAGAAATAAGAGTGCTATAAATAGGGGAAGGAAGAAGTTGAATTATCCCTATTTGCAGTTGATAGGGTCCCTCCGATACTATACTATAAGACTATGGAGTCACTGTAAAACTCTTAGCTCTGCTGCTTTCAGCAAATGTACAAGATACAAAGTCAACATACAAGCTACCACACCTGACTTATTTTGTTCATTAATTTTTTTGCTGAGATTGGCTTGAAATGTGATCCTCCTGCTCTCTGCCTTCTGAGTAGCTAGGATTTCAAGCATGCACCACCATGCCTGCCCTGTATCTGTCCTCAGGGATCCTGTTGGACAGATGGGGCCAATCCCGCAGGTCAGGTGTCTTTGTGGGAACCCACAGCACTTGATGTAATAAACCACAACATACAGTCACCCTGTCACTGTATTCCAGCTATTGTAAAACACCACGTGGGTCAGTGTTCCTAAGACTGACACACAGTGAGCACTTGGTAAAAATGAAAAGGTCCCTGTAGGACAAAATGTGGTCCCAACCCTGGGAAGGCCCAGACTGGCAGATCACAAGCTTGAGGCCAACTGGGGCTATACAATGAGACCCTGTCTCAAAACAAACAAAACAGAGCAACTTGTGGAGTGGTTACCTGCTGCCAAGTCCACATTCTTATGTTCAGAGTCCTGGAAGAAGTTTGTCTTAGCAGGCAGAAGTGTCTACAGGAGCGAGCCGCCCTCTGGGGGTGGAGAGGTCACCCTGCCTTAAACCTTGGAGGCCCAGGGAACTCCAAGGTGGTAAGAGGCGCTGTGTCTCTGCAGGTCAGGAGCGGGTGGTGATTGCTGACGACCTCCCGCACCCCTTTGGCCTGACGCAATACAGCGGCTACATCTACTGGACCGACTGGAACCTCCACAGCATCGAGCGGGCAGACAAGACCAGCGGCCAGAACCGCACCCTCATCCAGGGCCACCTGGACTTCGTGATGGACATCCTGGTGTTCCATTCCTCCCGCCAGGACGGCCTCAACGACTGCACGCACAACAACGGCCAGTGCGGCCAGCTGTGCCTCGCTGTCCCCGGCGGCCACCGCTGTGCCTGCGCCTCGCACTACACCCTGGACCCCAGCAGTCGCAACTGCAGCCGTAAGTGCTTCCATTCCCCCTCCCCCACCTGCACTCAGCCCTGTACCTGGGTGGTTGGGCAAGTTGTGCACTGCTCCAGCTTCTTGATGCTTCCAGGCGGCCTGGGCTACCTGAAGGACCTATGGCTTCATCAAGATACAGATCAGTGGACTAAGCCCAGGCAGGCAATGGTAGCTCACGCCTATGATCCCAGCTACTGAGGAGGCTGAGATATGAGGATCTTGGTTCGAAGCCAGCCTGGAGAATAAAAGCCTGTGAGATTCTTATTTCCAATTAAATATCCAAAAAGTTGGAGGCAGAGCTGTGGCTCAAGTGATAGAGCACTGACCTTGAGCACAAAAGCTCAGGGACAGCACCCAGGTCCTGAGGTCAAGCCTCAGGCCAGCACAAAGAAAATGAAACAAAATTTAAAAACAAAAAACATCATATCAACCAGGCGCAGGTGGCTCACGCCTGTAATCCTAGCGACTCAGGAGGCTGAGATCTGAGGATCACGGTTCAAAGCCAGCCCGGGCAGGAAAGTCCGTTAAACTCTTATCTCCAATAAACCACCAGAAAACCAGAAGTGGCGTGGTAGCTCAAGTGGTAGAGCGTTCACCTTGAGCTGAACAGCTGAGGGACAGTGCTCAGGCCCAGAGTTCAAGCCCCACGACTGACAAAAACAACAACAAAACCCCCATCATATCAAGGGAACACGCGTCAGCTGGCCACTTCCACAGGCCTCCTAGTCCCCATTTCATAGGCAAAGAGCCTGGGGAACAGAGACATTTAGCGGCCTGTCCAGTGTCACACAGCTGGGAAAATGGAGCAGGAATAGCTTTAAGTGGCTGCTCCTGACCGCTTGCTGTGGGACCGCTGGGTGGGACTGTGTTCTGGTGGCCAAGGTAAGGAGAGTGGGGTGATGGTAGTGGTGGTGAGGAGTAAGTTTCCCATTGGTCCATGGGGTTGAGGGCTGATGTCACATCAGACTCTGCACCGCACGTAACGGCTGACACCGCTTGTCCTCTGGACCTCGTCTGAGCTCCTCAGCTCTGGCCACAGCAGGGCTGGTCTTACCCATCAAGTTTTATCACTGAGACCCGCTGTGGTCTGACAAGGCAGGGGGCAGAGCTGAGGTGTGACCAGTCTGGTGGTCTCTTGCCTCCCTGAGATTCAGGAGGGGCCAGGACAGACCGGGGTGGAGACAGACATTGCACGGCTTCTGAACCGGGCAGCTGGCCTTGGTTCTCGGACCTCCACTAAGGAGACACCATGCAATGTTCTGGTCTCTCCAAATGCACATTCTTCTGGCCGACATGCCCGTGAGCTGGGAGATGTGTGGGGATGCATAGCATTTCTCAATCCCAGGCTGCCTTGAAAACCACAGAAGCTGGGCATCGGGGGCTGCAGTTGGCCCCTAGGCTCAGCTCGATTCCTGCTCTGCAATGTCACCTCATCTGTTGCTCCCTGACTCCTCCAGCAGTGTGCCTCTCTGGTCTGTTTACCCGGGTTTCAGCCCTTCACCTGGACTCCCACAGGTGTATAGCAAATTCCACAGCTAGGGGGCTTCTCACGCTTTCCAGGTGTGAGCTTTAGCGTTCACTACCATTACCTTCCATGTATCTTGATTCTTCATTTGTGCTGGTACTGGGGCTTGAACTCAGGGCCTGGGCACTGTCCCTGAGCCTTTTTGCTCAAGGCTAGTGCTCTACCACTTTGAGCCACAGCTCTACTTCCAGTTTTCTGGTGGTTAATTGGAGGTAGAGAAGAGTCTCACAAACTTTCCTGTCTGGACTGGCTTTGAACCTCAGTCCTCAGATCTCAGCCTCCTGAGTAGCTAGGATTATAGGTGTGAGCCACCATCATCTAGCAATGTCCTAATTCTTGATGATCTTTTGTGTTGCTGGGGACAGAACCCAGGGCCTTATGCATGCTAGGCAAGTACTGTATCTTTGGGTCCCACTTCAGCTTGCTAACTTTAAAGTAAGTGTACATCTATTTCAAAACACACACACTTTGGAACAACACTGACAGAAGACATGAAGAATAAAAATCCCATCATGCACCGGGAGGCAGCTCTGTGTCCCTCCAGGCCGTTCCATGGGCACGTGTGCACGTGTGCACGCGCTTGCTTCCACATGGTGATGCTTGGCCCCTGGTCTGTTTGTCCCACCCCAGCACCTTCCACCTTCCTGCTCTTCAGCCAGAAATGCGCCATCAGCCGGATGATCCCGGATGACCAGCACAGCCCAGACCTCGTCCTGCCCCTGCACGGGCTGAGGAACGTCAAGGCCATCGACTACGACCCACTGGACAAGTTCATCTACTGGGTAGACGGGCGCCAGAACATCAAGCGAGCCAAGGATGATGGGACCCAGGCAGGTGCACCTGTGGGAAGGGAAGCTTCTGGATGGAGCTCACCCTGGTGGTGGCTTTGAGATTGCTGCCCTCTTTACTGAGCTAGGGGGAGGAGGTGGCAGCTGAGCAGGGCTTGGGGTAAACAATGATTCAGACTCCAATTATGTAAGTGCAGGTGTGGTCCCAGCTTGGGCAATGCTAGACTGATTCAGAGAGAAACTGGATTTCCCAGTTATTGAAGTCATTATGGGGGAAGCGTTCAATTCCAGGGGGCATTTTCTTTCCAAGCTGGTTTTGTGTTGCTCAGGGGTAGTGGGATTTTCTAGATTGTCCTTTATCTCATAGGAAATGTACGATTATTTTTATCTCGCAGGGAATGTGTGATCACTTTTGCTACACTGTAGTTTGTAGTTTGTTTCATGTGTTTATTACCTCACTGTGAAAAATCACACACGATGCCAGATGCTGGTGGCTCGCAACTGTAATCCTAGCTACTCAGGAGGCTGAGATCTGAGGATTGAGGTTCAAAGCCAATGTAGGCAAAAGAATCTGTGAAATTTTTATCTATAGTTAGCCACCAAAAAGCCAGAAGTAGAAGTATAGCTCAAGTATAGACAAGTGCTGGTGGCTCATGCCTATAATCCTAACTACTCTGGAGGCTGAGATCTGAGGATTGCGGTTCAAAGCAAGTCTGGGCAGGAAAAGTTGGTGAGACTCTTACCTCCAATAAACCACTAGAAAACTGGAAGTGGCGCTGTGGCTCAAGTGGTAGAGCCTTGAGCTGAAGAACTGAGGGACAGCGCCCAAGCCCAGACTTCAAGCCCTATGACCAAAAAAAAAAACAACAAAAAAAAACTCAAGGATAGCACCTAGGCCCTGAGTTCATGCCCCAGTACTGGCACCAAGTGCGCGCATGCACACACACACACACACACACACACACACACACACCCGAAAAATGACAGATTATGGGACAGAGGAGTATAGATCATAAGATGGAAAGCTCCACCAGTAATACCCCCAAAATGGGCCGGGATGTGCGAGCGGCTCCGCACTGCCGCTGCCTGCCGTGCGTGGCGGGGAGGCCCAGCGGCTGTGGAATGGGCACCAGCCTGGCGTTTGCCAGCCTGTGTGAGTGGGCGGGATGGTTCTCAGCACAGGCGTGGGTGGGTGCGGCTGGTGGCGTGTTCTGACAGGGCTCCGGGCTGAGGGAGCAATGACACGTAGGCAGACAGTTTGTCTTGCACTCACATTGTCCCCTAATGGGACACATTTGCACAACTAGGGGAGCTGAGTCAGCTGCAGTGGTGTGTGATGGGTTTTAGGGAGGACATGCTCACATGTGCAGACTTGGCTTGTGGCACCCCCTTGCCAAGGTGCCTTCCACAAAAGTCCCAGAGTCCAAAGGCTCCTTTCTGGAAAGGGCTGCTGCCACGCACGTCTGCCCTGCCTACGTCACCTGTGACCTGCCCTTCCGGGCCGCATCGCAGCCCGCCCCTGCCCCGCCCCTCCCACATCTGACTCTGCACCCTTGGCCTATTTCCCCCAGGAGAGGGTCCTGAAAGGTGCGCCTCAGGTCTGCTTCCTACTCTCCTGCTTTCCTAGCACCTTAGAGGAGACACGCAACTTGGTTTAATGTTTTGCGTCACAGCATGAATGCTAAGCAGTGGAAAAGAAGGGGGCAGTGTGGTGAGGTGGCCCTCATCCTGACCTGTCCGGCTGACGGCCAGCTTCCTGTGGGAGCAGGGGCCTGGAGTCCAGGTGTGCTGGAGCCCTGTCCTTGTGAAAACCCCATTGAGAGGACAGGGCCCGCATCCGGGCCTTCAGGACCAGGGCTCCGTCCTGGCCACCGCTCCTGCTGGTGCCCCCAGGGTCTCACCGGCTTTGACTTTGGCTTTGTTCTGTCTTACAGCCCTTTGTCTTGACCTCTCCGGGTCAAAGCCAGGGTCAGGGTCAAAGCCCCGACAGGCAGCCACACGACCTCAGCATCGATATCTACAGCCGGACGCTGTTCTGGACGTGCGAGGCCACCAACACCATCAACGTCCTGCGGCTGGACGGGGACGCAATGGGTGTGGTGCTGCGGGGGGACCGTGACAAGCCGAGGGCCATCGCTGTCAACGCCGAGCGAGGGTAGGGCCGCTGGACTGGGCGGGCACTGTGGAGGAGCGCGTCCATTCCTGTTCGTTTGTGCTGACCTGTGACTGCCGGTTGTCAGAAGCCTAGAATGCCCTTCCTCCCCCCTCCCCCCCGGCATTCCAGCCGTCAGCTCCCCAGAAGCCCAGGCTCAGCAGCCTGGCCAGCCTGGCTGAGCAGAGGGGAGGCCCTAGGCAGGAAGGGAAGACTCTGAGAAGACAAGGTGGCAAAACTGTAAGGTGTGCACACCACAATCAGATGGGGGGGGGGAGCCAGACACAGAGAGAGAGAGAGAGTGTGTGTGTGTGTGTGTGTGTTGTGTTTGCTGGTTTGGGGACTAAAAGAATCCTGTGCTCTCTCTTGCCTTTTTATTGCTTGAGACTGGTGCTCTATCACTTGAGCCACATCTCCGCTTCCAGCTTTTTGGTGGTTAATTGGAGATAAGACTTGTATGGACTTTCCTGGCCAGTGTGGCTTTAAACCATGATCCTCAGATTTCAGCCTCCTGAGTAGCAGCACCCGGTTCAGACTTCCCTTGTTTTGACCTTTAGTTATAGTTGCTAAGATCCAAAGCAGTGAGTTTCCAAAGTGGCTCCCTTTGTCCTGAGGTTCTGGAGGGCCGTAACCTTGGTGGGGGGGAGGCCCTCTCCCTCTCAGCACGTGGCTGTCCTGTCTGCTTCTGGTGCCAGCCCTGGGAGAGCCCAGAGCTGCCTGGATGCAGCAGGGTGTAAACACTGCCGTCTCCCGGCGCCTGTCCTTCCCTCACTGCTGGCCACCCCCTGCCACCCCCCAGGTACCTGTACTTCACCAACATGCAGGACCGGGCAGCCAAGATCGAGCGTGCCGCCCTGGATGGCACCGAGCGCGAGGTCCTCTTCACCACAGGTCTCATCCGCCCCGTGGCCCTTGTGGTAGACAACTCGCTGGGCAAGCTCTTTTGGGTGGACGCCGACCTAAAGCGTATTGAGAGCTGCGACCTGTCAGGTATGGCCCACTCTCTCGGCCTCCCCAGTGACCCCTGGGCAGCCCTGCAGGTGTGACTGCCCTGTGGGTACCTGGCTCTCCTTGTTGCCACTCAGGGCAACAGCTGCTCCCTCGTCCAGGTCCTGCTGGCAGCGTGCTGGGAGCCTTGTGTTAGACCTGGGCTCTGTGGTGGTCAGTGTGCCTTGGTCAGGGGGCCTTGCATGTGTCCCATATGAGCCTGGCCCTGGGTGATCAGGCTCCGGGTCCTGCACAAGCCCTGGGACGTAGAGAAACAAGCCAGTGCTCAGAGACGCTGGGGTCCTACAGCTTTTCTTCTTAAGGGTGGGGGTAGCTGGGCACTGGTGGTTCATGCCTGTAGTCCCGGCTACACTGATATATGAGGATTGTAATTCGAAGCCAGCCTGGACAGGAAAGTCTTGTGAGGGTCTTACCTCCAGTTAATGCCAAAAAGCCAGAAGTAGAGCTGTGGCTCAAGTGATCGAGTAGCCTTGAGCAGAAAAGCTCAGGGACAGCACCCAGATCCTAAGTTCAATCCTTAGGACTGATTTTAAAGAAAAAAAGGGTTGGAGTGGAAAAGGGGGCATCTTGTTGGTTAGGGGTCAGTGACCAGGGACTGTATGACTGACTCAGAAGCCAGTGTTGGCGGGCGCAGTCAGGCCCCAGCGGATCTGTGCCCGTGCCCCCGGCAGCGTGGAAGCCCCCTAGGCTCCCTTGTAGCTTTCTTTAAGCCTTTGACCCCTGACCCCGCTGTTGAGGCCGGCTGTCACTCAGAGCCCCTTGTCCTGCCTGTAGGGGCCAACCGCCTGACCCTGGAGGACTCCAACATCGTGCAGCCTGTGGGCCTGACTGTGCTTGGCCGGCACCTCTACTGGGTCGACCGGCAGCAGCAGATGATCGAGCGCGTGGAGAAGACCACCGGGGACAAGCGGACTCGGGTGCAAGGCCGCGTCGCCCATCTCACTGGCATCCACGCTGTGGAGGAAGTCAGCCTGGAGGAGTTCTGTACGCCAGGGGTGGACAGCGATGTGGGGAGGGTGGCACCTGCTCAGACCTGGAGCCAGCCCCGGGCCGTGCAAGACCCGTGTGCCCCGCGAGGTGACAGTGTCACCAAGCCAGGGCTCAGCCCCGAAGGCTTGCAGGTGTCCCAGGTCTTGGCAGTCATTTTCATATGCTGCCCAACAAAAGACCAAGTGTAGTACTTCAAAAAGACACCAGGCATTGGTGTCTCATGCTGCCTGCAATCCTAGCTACTCAGAAGGTTGAGATCTAAGGTCCCTAGTTCAAAGCCAACCCAGGCAGAAAGGTCTGTAAGACTCTTACTTTCCAACTAGCCAGCAAAATATTAGAAGCGTAGCTGTGGCTCAAGTGGTAGAGCATCAAGATTGAGCAAGAAAGTCATTGGCCCTACTCTGTTGTGAGGCACACAGGCTGTATAGATTGATATGTTGCAGCACAGCAGGAGTTGGTGCCGATTGGGCAGTTTATGTTGAGTATAACAATGCCCCCAGGTCCTGTTTGTGTTCATTTCTGTAATAGTAGGAATAAATTCTGTTGGCCTGTCAATAGATTGAGTAGTGCTGGGCTCCAGTGGCTCACGCCTGTAATCCTAGGAGACTGAGATTTGAGGATTGCAGTTCAAAGCCAGCCTGGGCAGGAAAAGTCTGTGAGACTCTTATCTCCAATAAACCACTCAGAAAATGGGATGTGGCGCTGTGGCTCAAATGGTAGAGCGCTAGCCTTGAGCTGAAGAGCTGAGGGACAGTGCCCAGGCCCAGAGTTCAGGCCTCACTACCGACCAAAAAAAAAAAAAAGAGAGAGATTAAATAGTGAATTCCTCAGGGACCAGGCCCCCACAGAACCCCATCATTCTGAGAAGCAGAGCCTGACCCCTAACCCTGTCTTGTTTTGTCCCTGCAGCTGCTCACCCCTGTGCCCGGGACAATGGCGGCTGCTCCCATATCTGCATTGCCAAGGGGGACGGGACACCACGGTGCTCATGCCCCGTCCACCTCGTGCTTTTGCAGAACCTGCTGACTTGTGGTGGTAGGTGTGACTCTTTCTGGGAACTTTGGGCAAAGACCTAGTCCTCTACCTCCCAGCCCACTGTCCTGAATCCTTTCCAGCATCCAGTCTCCAAAGCAATTCATCTCTTACTCTCCATTGCTTCTGCTGTATAAATGAATCTGTGCTATGAGTTTTCCCCTATGAACTGCCTTCCCTGCATCCCACCAATCTGGATAAGTTGTATTTTCATTTGAAGGTAGTTCAAATGCTTTTGAGGTTCTCTGGAGATAGCTTCCCTATGTTATTTAGAATTGTTCTGTTTAATATGGCCCAGCTGGCTCTGTCACTGATTTCCAGGTTAGTTCCATGTGGGCTGAGAGTTTACTTTGTTTAGTTTTTATTTGTTCTAAGTTTATTCAGGTGTGCTTCATGGCTGAGCATGTAGTCTTGTCTTGGTGACTATTCCATGTATCCTTGAGAAGAATGTGGATCTTGCTGTTGTTAGGTGGCATTTTCTAGAATCATTAGTTAGATCTACTTGATTGATAATCTGGTCAGTCGTCTGTGTTCTTCCTGGTTATCTGTTCCAGTTGTCTGTTACTGACAAGGGTGTCTAATCTTCAGCTCTAGTGGTAGATTTGGTCCTTTTTTTCTTCTTCTTGTAGTTCTTTTGTTTTTCCTCTTCCTACCCTCTACACTCTTCTTCCTGTGGGGCACCTGGTGATGATGGTGGTAGGTAATTGAAACAGGGTCAGAGCTCCATGCTAGTGGCTCACAGCTGGAATCCGACCTACTCAGGAGGCTGAGATTTGAGGCTTGCAGTTTGAAGCCAACCTGAGTGGGAAAATCCGTGATACTCTTTATCTTCAGTTATGACACCCCCCAAACAAACAAACAAACCAAAAAGCCAGAGGTGGAGCTGTGGCTCAAGAAGTGGTAGAGTGCTAACCTTAAATACTGAAACTCAGGGATAGCTCCCAGGTCTTTAGTGCAAGCCCCAGGATGGGGCTTGAAGAAAAACAAAAACAACACACACACACACCCAAAAAAAAAAAAAAACCAGGGTCAGAGGACCTGGATTCAGGCTCTGACTTCCCAGCTGGTCACTTGCCCTCTCTGAGTCTTTACTTCTTCCTCTATGAAATTGAGCGCACTCACCTGGGAGGTTGTTGTAGGAGCAGCAGAGCCTTCCCTGTGGTCCTGGTACCTGCCACACGGGAGTGCCCGGTGAGCGATGTCATAGAGGATGGCCGCCGTGACCAGCGGGTCGCCATGAACAGGCCCACAGGGCTTCTTGGCTCTTGGGTCCCCCCGGTAGCCAGCTCCATGCTGCGCTCCTTTTGCCTCTAGTCTGTGAGCTTTGGGGCTCTGGCTTTATGCCCTCGCCCTACAGCAACCATAGACCCCAGCCCTGCTTGTGAGTGACACCTGTGCTTGGTCTTTACCTGGAGAGACGCCACAGCCCAGCGGCTCAGCCAATAGGCACTCACGCCTCCGTGTCCTCCTCAGGGCTCCATGTCCTCCTCACGGCCTGTCCCTCTAGAGCTTTCTCCATTGAGGTTTCTTCAGTGCCCAGTGACTCTGTCCGTGAGCAGAGGGAAACTTTGTGACTGCCCCCTCCTGAGTTTCCAGGCTGGTCATTAAGTTCTACCCGGGGTTCATGCAGATCTGGGGCTCAGTCTGTTCATGTCCCACAGGTACTCAGGTGGCCTAGTGAGGAACAGGGACCATGGACAGCCCCTCACTGCCCAGCCCCGGGCCCCTCCACACACCACTCCGTGACCTTCTGTCCATCTCCCTCGGACCCCCGAGACCCCGTCCCGCTGCTGACATGTGTGTGCTTGTTGTACATACATAAAGTCTTCTGCGGCCACGTCCTTGACAGGTCCCTGTGAAGTCCATGGTGTCAGTGTTAGGGTCACACAGCCAACACTCCTGTGTGAGCCCTGCCCTGGGTGTCCCCAGCTGGTCCCCACAGTCTAAGTCACTCCTCGGGTCGGACCCTGTGGCATAGAGTGGCCCCGAGCATCTTTCTTTTTGTGTGTGTGTGTGTGTGTGAACTCTGGGCTTGAACTCTGGGCCTGGGCGCTGCCCCTCAGCTCTTCAGCTCAAGGCTAGCACTCTACCACTTGAGCTACAGCGCCACTTCTGGTTTTCTGATGGTTCATTGGAGATCAGAGTCTCACGGACTTTCCTGCCCAGGCTGGCTTTGAATTGCGATCCTCAGATCTCAGCCTCTTGAGTAGCTAGGATTATAGGTGTGAGCCATCAGCGCCCGCTTTTTTTTTTTTGTGGTTGGAGGGCCTGAATTCTGGGCCTGGGCACTTTCCCTCAGCCACAGGGCCACTTCTGGCTTTTTCTGCCTATGCTGAGGGCCTCATGCATGCGAGGCAAGCATTCTACCACTGAGCCATCTTTCCAGCCCCCTCTATTTTTTTCTTAAAGAATATAAAAACTTCCTTTTTAATCAAGTCTTGAAACATGGAACAGATTTCTTGAATACACTGTAAAATTTCCAATACGTTGAGAGATAAATCCACGAGTCACCCAGTAGGGAAAAATAAAATAGCAGCTTTACACAATCTTTGATAGACACAGTCGCTTCCTCCCTCTGCCAAGTAGAGCACACCTGACTTCTGAGACCCCCTCAGCTGAGCCTGTGGCAGCTGATCATGCTAAGAGAAGAAAGGCGTTAGGAAGGACAGCTATGTGAGACCCCAAGTTGGAAGTGGTCCTCCAGCTTCATTTCCTCGGCTTGTTTGGTAGTGAGCTGTGAGGTTCTAGTTCACGGATCATATCATGACTCTGTTGAACACCAAGATTCCTCCATGCAGATTCAGATGTCAAATGCATTTTAGGGACAAGTGTGGGTATGTCCTTGGGTAACATAACATGCCTTTCATTAGTTGGTCCAGTTCTCCAAAACTGCCTCTTCACCAGGATTCTCCACTAACTTCTGTCAGGAACTTTTCTTCTGAAAGGGATCAACCAGCCTTCTGAAAGAGTGACTTAGTTGAAGTTTCATGGCTCTCGGGGGTCCACCCCCTCCGGGGAACCCTGCCCCTCCCGCCATCCAGGTCTAATTCCTTAGGGTGTCTTCTGCGGGATGAGGAAACCGAGGCTTTGGGTGGCCTCCAGTTCCCCAGGGATCTTAGCAGCTGAGGACACTGGGGTCCAGCCCCAGCCTGTCTGGCTCTGCCCCGCCCTGCCCCTGCCCTCCAGCCCCGGCTGCTGCTCTGGCAGGGCAGGGCAGGGCCCTCTTTTGATTTTTAAATATACTGTTTTTGCTGTTCGTCAGGTTTTGTGCAGAGAGGCTGCCGTTTCCTAAGTGAGCACATTTCTGGTCTTGGACAATGCCACCCCTTCCTTTGCTTTCCCCACTTCCCCCTCCCCGCCTTGCCCACAAGTTCCACAGGTCACTTTCCTCATAGCGGCGGCCGAGTGGCGTGATTGTGATTGTTCACCCTGCCTCCCTCCCCTTCTGTGCCCCCCTTTACTCCCCTTGAAAAACAATCCCAAGGCAAAAACAAACCACCACCACCACTAATAATAACAAGAAAAGAATCCCGTTTCCATTTCCTGGAGAGGGCAGGGCCTCCTTCCTGACTGGGGGTCAGTGGTGCCAACTGAGGTGGGCGCGGAGCCTGTGGGGGCAGAGCTCAGGTGTGGTGCCCGGCCACAAGCTGCTACACAGGCACCTGCTGACGCTGGCCTGTCTTTCCTTGGCCAGGAGGTGTCTCTATTGGGTCCAGGGTGCTCTCTAAACAGGGGTCCCTTGGGGAGCCTTCTGGGTAGGTTCTGCTGTGATTGAGAGGTGGCATTGACCGGGTGGGTGTAGTGCCAGCAGGGCCCGGGGCCATGTCTGTGCTGAGAAGCCGGGAGGAGGTGGGAAGCAGAGCTGGGTAAGGTAACAGAGAAAGCTGGACTGCTGTTCCAGGCCACAGAGACGATGACACATTCTTCACAGTGAGGGCCCCTGAGGTGGAGAGGAATTCCCACTGCCTCCACCTCATGGGGGCCTCCCTGGGGGCCGCCTTCGCTGGGACAGGCTGCACCACTCCAGGGCTCCTTGGCCTTTTCTCCTGTGTGGGTGCCAGCTGCCCTCTTCTTGGCCCTCCTGTCCCAGTGGTGCCTTGGTTAATCGGGTGTGGCTAGGCTGTGGTGGGGTGATGGCCGTGAAGGCCAGGATGCCCCTGAAAACGGCCTTACCGCGCTCCGGTGCAGCACCTGAGGTCAGGAAGGCAGAGGGGATGCGCTGGGCAGCGTGCCCTGCCTCCCCTGCGTGACATTCCTCCGTCCCTCCCACAGAGCCTCCCACCTGCTCCCCCGACCAGTTTGCGTGTGCCACGGGGGAGATTGACTGCATCCCCGGGGCCTGGCGCTGCGACGGCTTTCCCGAGTGCGATGACCAGAGCGATGAGGAGGGCTGCCCGGTGTGCTCGGCTGCCCAGTTTCCCTGCGCGCGCGGCCAGTGTGTGGACGTGCGCCTGCGCTGCGACGGCGAGGCCGACTGCCAGGACCGCTCGGACGAGGCCGACTGCGATGGTGAGCCGCGGCCTCTCCCGGCCCCGCCACCTTCCCCCTCCCCCCCCCAGGCCGCCACCCTCACGCCGCCGCTGCCCAGGCCTCCCACCAGTAGGGACTGGAGCTGGGTTTAGGTCTGCCATGCAAAGTGCTGCAGTCTGACCCCAGCCGCCCCAACAGCCAGGGGAGTGGTTGTCGGTCAGACTGAGACTCTGCCCTACCTGTGCACATGGGGCTGGCGATGTTGCAGAATCCCAAGGTAACACCAGTAGTAAGCCAGGGGCGTCCAAGGCCCCCATCGTAAAAGGCAGTGCTGAGCTCCACCAAGCAGTTAAACCCAGGCTACCCACCTGGGCCCACCCTGACCAGCAGAGTCCTGCAGGTCACCCCTTCTAGCCCCCAGTTGCTCTGGGCGAGGAGCGGGGAGGGAGGATCCTCTCTCCTGGCAGCTCCTCTTGCCACCTCTCCTTCCCCGGAACCTGGGGGCCTTGGGGTCAGGGCTGGCTGTCCTGGCTTTGTACAAACCTGTGCCAGGATCGGTGCCAGACACACCTCCCCAGAGAATGGCGGGGCTTCTTGCCCACCCCACCTCTGGCAGGCCTCAGGGACGGGGACCTAGGTTTGCTGTGGCCACTCCTGGGCAAATCCTGGGAAAAGCTGTCCCTTTTTTTGGAGCCTGTTTGGTCCTCTGTGACGGGGTCTTGGATGAGGGCTGGGGGTGGGGCAGGGCGCGGGGACTGGCTGCCCTCTGGCCTCTCTAAACCTCACCCTCCTTGCAGCTGTCTGCCTGCCCAACCAGTTCCGCTGTGCCAGCGGCCAGTGTGTCCTCATCAAGCAACAGTGCGACTCCTTCCCCGACTGTGTGGACGGCTCCGATGAGCTCATGTGCGGTGAGCTGGCTGTGGGCAGGGCTGGGGTCTGGGTCAGGTGGAGGAAAAGCCCAGGGGGGCGGGGCCTGTGGTGGGCGGAGAGCTGGTGAGTTTGACCTTGGCCCTGCTCTGCAGCAGGATTTCCAGGGCTGACTTCCTGAGGAGGGAGATCCGTGCCCGTGTGCACACATACACACACTACTCTGCGCTGGTGACCCTGAGTGACCAGGCCTGTGTGTTAAAGGGTCCGGGACTAGTGGGCAGATGGCCAGGGCAGTCAGGGGACCGACCGGTCCTGAAGGAACCGAGTTCAGGCAGGAAGTGGTCGTGTGTGGCTCTGTATGGGATCCTGGCCCCTGCATGGGCTGAACAGGGACTGGGCCGAGAGCTGGGAGAGGGACAGCCCGGTGTGGGGAGGAGGCCCCGAGGGGCTCGCCGAGCCCTCTGACACCTTCATGCCCTCTGGGGCATGGGGCCAGGTAGAGCTAGGGGCTGCCGGTGTGTCCCGCCCCTGTGCCCGGCAGGCTCCCTGTCTGGCAGAGGCTCTGCTTGGGTCCACTGTCGGCCAGCGGGCCCCAGGGTCGGGGCATGACCCGGCTGGCAGTTGTCCTCACATTCCTTCTGGCTGGGCCTCTGGGAGGGCTGCATTTGGTCCCCTTGGGATCATTGCCCCGGGATGTGAAGTGCTTTTGCCAGCTGAGTCTGGAGCCTGGGCACGTCCTCCGCACTCTGGGGACCTTGGTGCCGGAACAGCCTGGTGGGCAGCATCTCATCCCCAGCTCTGGGCCTTCCAGCCAGAGCTCAGTACACCACGTGTGGCCAGCCCAGGAGACTGGCCTGCAAGGGCCTGGGGCACCTGGACTGGCTGTAGGGAAGGAAGACAGGCCAGCCAGCCGGTCCTGGGGCTGGTGCCATCCCGGGCCCCTCCTGTCTCCTCTCCCCCGCCCCCTCCCCCCTGTGGGCACACAGCGTTGCCCCACAGGAAGGCCATTCCTTTGGGGTCAACGTTGGCTGTCCCTTCTTCCTGTCCTCAGAAATCACCAAGCCATCGTCCGACGACATCCCAGCCCACAGCAGCGCCATTGGGCCGGTCATCGGCATCCTGCTCTCCATCTTTGTCCTGGGAGGGGTCTATTTTGTGTGCCAGCGGGTGGTGTGCCAGCGCTACGCCGGCGCCAACGGGCCCTTCCCGCACGAGTACGTCAGTGGAACCCCCCACGTGCCCCTCAACTTCATAGCTCCGGGAGGCTCCCAGCACGGCCCCTTCACAGGTGAGGGGCCACGACTTTGGAGGGCCTGCTAGTCATCAGAGCCAAGCACTGGGGCGCCCCTGCCAGCTGACGCGTCCCTTACACAGGGGTGCAGGCTGTCAGGATCCGGGGCCGGGGGGGCCCCACAAAGTTGCACATTGTCCTTGGGCTTTATATCCTTTCTGTCCACCCCAAGCTGGGGTCAGCTGGTGCTGTGCCCTGTGGGTATTCTCTTTCCCCAGGGCTGCCCGACCCTCGGCTCCTCTCTCCTGTCCGGTTTTCCTCCCTGGGCCTGCCTCTGGCTGAGGGTCTGCTGGGGCCCTGGTGTCCGGACGCCAGTGTGGCCCAGGGCCTCCTGGAAGCCACGGCAGTGCCAGCCTGCGCCACTGTGCCAGGACTTCCCGGAGACGGGCCCCTGCTGGAGCCCGGTGTGCTCTGAGGCCCTGCACTGGTCGAATCCTCAGGGAAGGTGCTGCGTATCCGAAGCTCCTATTGGCTGTGGTCAGAGAGGCCAGCAGGAGGGGACAGGTCTGACACCCAGGCTGACGTGCACACCCATCTGTCCTTCCCATCCCCACCCCCCCCAGGCATTTCCTGCAGCAAGTCCATGATGAGCTCCGTGAGCCTGGTGGGGGGCCGGGGGGGCATGTCCCTCTATGACCGGAACCACGTGACCGGGGCCTCGTCCAGCAGCTCATCCAGCACGAAGGCCACGCTGTACCCACCGGTGAGCGGGGCTGTAAGGCCCAGGAGGGTGGGTGAGTGGGTCGGGTTGCTTGGGTGTCTCTGCTCAATGTCCCCTCAGCTCATGGAAAGATGATAGTTTCCCTCCTCACACGCACTTCTGGGTGGCTCATCGGCGCATTACCTTCTGTGCAGGTAAAGGGCAGTCCTGCACGGTGCTGGTCAGGAATGCACGTGGACGTGTTCACCCAGCCCCACCTCCGGGGATGTCTTGTGGTCAGGGTGGTCTCCTGTTCCACACGGTGGGCCTGCTCTGCAGCCACGCCCCCTCACCGCTGCCCTCCTGGCCTGCCTGGCCTTCGCAAGCTCCCCTCCCTGCCCCCCAGGACCACTCTGAACCCCCACCCTGGCCGTGCAGATTTGCTGAAGAAGAATCTGTATCCCATAGGACAGACAAGCCACACTGCAATCTTTGTGTCCACAATCTGTGACGTGAGCCTGCAAGGGTCACCCCGCCACATGCTACAGTAAAAGGATTAGCGAGTGAGGGACGCTCCTGGGTCCCCCGAGGGAGCCCCCAAGGCTGGCTGTGGGAACCCCGTCTCTCAGTGTGAAAGAGCCCAGCCCCCGGGTGTCCTCGCTGTATTACGTGAATCTGGGTACAGCAACCCCACTGCCCCTCCCCCGGGGGATCCATCTTCTGCCAAGTCCCAGGAACCCAGGATGCCTGAACCACACAGGCACCAAACACAGCGACGCGCTGGCTCTGCCTGTGCACAGACTCACAGTACAGGTTAGCTCTCCACCCCAGGTGCCGTGAGAGGTTAACCAGCAGCGCGGAGCCAGAGCAGCGAGGACAGTGTCCTGCAGCGAGCCCGTGAATGTGCTCTGTCTCCTGAGAGCGTCCAGACCAACGCTAGCATTTCTGGGCTGCGGTTGACCACAAAACCACCCAGACACAGTGCTGCCCGGGAACTGCGCACTGGCTGGCTGACGGCACAGCTCGGGGTGCTCGAACCCCGTCCTTCCTGCAGCTTAGACTCTTGACCACAGCCCTTGAGCTCGCCCTGGGTCCCTCCAGCCAGCCCCACCCTGTCAGGTTGCTCTGCACATCTCTTATCCATCCCCTTATCGCCCCTGACCTCCGTGGCAGGCTCGGGTGGAGGGGACTTGGAGGTTTTTATCTCTGGGTAGCAGGACAGGAACTGAAATTTCTAGAAGCTATTTTTAGGGGCACGGGAAATACAGAGTTCAGCTAGAGTTCAGACTATCCCCTTTCTTCTCGGTCCCCACATAACCAGCTAGTGGCATCAACCCTCCCCCCACTCCCGCCTCTCATCCCCTTGACTAAGGCCTGGCTCCTCCAGCTTCAGATAGAGCCCTCTACAGTAGAGTCTCTACGGAGCGCTTTCACCTCCCACTGAGAACCTCAAGGGAGCTCAGGGACCTGAGTTCAGGCCCCAGAGAGAGAGGGAGAGGGAGGGGGGAGAGAGGGAGAGGGAGAGAGAAAGAGAGGGAGAGAGAGAAGGAGAAAGAGAGGGAGAGAAAGAGGGGGAGAGAGTCTCCGAAGTGTCGCTTTGATGCCGCCTTTTGCTCTGAACCGTGCCAGGTTCTTCTGGGTCACACTGTTTCGGGACGGGAGTATTGGAGTCTTGTAAACTTGAGCTGTGAGCTTCCTTTCTCTGCCTCCTGAATAGCTAGGCTGACAGGCGTGAGCCACCATGCCCGGCTCCATCTTTTCTTTTATGCCAACTAAGAACTTTTGGGGTGTCCTCAAAAAGCTTTCCCTCTGAACATGAAGCACAGTTCTCGCCCCATTCTGTCGTATTTCCCCTTGACCTGGGGTTTCATATTGAAGGTTTGGGTTTTTCTCCCATGAAATTGGATATAGTGAGTGAGGCAGGAACCCCATTTTCTTTACTGGAGATTCAGCTGACTTAATAGTCACGGGTGCAGTCAGGAGGGGGAAACCACGAGGTCATTTAAGGAGAGAAAGTTCCTTGTGTTACCCTCCTAAGAGGAATGGGACACCTGGGCCCCGCGACTGGAAGCAGTGAGGCAGGAAGAGCGGAGCGAGGGCGGCCGCACCCCGCACCCCGCACCCCGGCCTGTTTGCAGAGGGCGTAGGCGGGGCTCCCAGGCAGCCAAGGAGTCGGTGCTGTGCTGCACTGGCGGAGTGTGCCAGAATGCTGTCATGGTGTTAGGAAAGGCATCTCAACAACATCTCCTGGAGTTGTGGCACCTATGCCCAGCCCCAGAAGGGGTTGGCAGATGTCAGAGGCTGCCTTGGGAGGGGGACAAAAAGAGAGGCAGGTCTGGGGGCGGGGAAGGTGGCTCCGCGGTAGAGCGCTTGCCTGGCAAGCATGAGGCCCTAGGTTCGATTCCTCAGTACCACATAAACAGAAAAAGCCAGAAGTGGCACTGTGGCTCAAGTGGTAGAGCGCTAACCTTGAGCTGAAGAGCTGAGGGACAGCGCCCAGGCCCAGAGTTCAGGCCCCACGACCAACCAAAAAAAATAAAAAATAAGCTGGGCGCTGGTGGCTCACGCCTGTAATCCTAGCTACTCAGGAGGCTGAGATCTGAGGATTGCGGTTCAAAGCCAGCCTGGGCAGGAGAGACCGTGAGACTCCTATCTCCAATAAACCACCAGAAAACCGGAAGTGGCGCTGTAGCTCAAGAGGTAGAGCGCTCGCCTTGAGCTGAAGAGCTGAGGGACAGCGCCCAGGCCGAGTTCAAGCCCCACAACCAACCAAAAAAATAAATAAAAATAAAAAATAAATAAAAAGAGAGGCAGGTCCGTCAGGTTGATAGGCTGTACCACGGCCTGGGTGTGTGCTGTGGCAGGGGCTCCTTTTAGCTCCCATCCCTCCAGTGTCACGCCCGCCACGTTAGGGGTTGACTCCCATGAATTTCCATGCTGGCTTTTAGGGTTACAGGGGCCTTCCCCAGACCGAGGGGCAGGGAGGTGCCACTTGTAAAGGAAGAGAACTGACGGTAATGGCTGAGCAGCTTGGAAATGGGTCTTGGTCACATGTAGAGATGGGGAAGCAGAGGCCCAGGGAGGTGAGATGATCAAATAGAACCTTCCAAGGGTCTCTTAGGCATGGAAGGCTGCTCTCTGACCACTCCCTCTGGCTGTGTCTTTATAGGATGGCTGTAGGGGGCTGGGGCAGGAGTCCAGGGCTTCATGAAGTCCTGCCTAGCAGGGAGAGGCAAGGCTCCTGAGCGGGGCACCTCTGCTTCCCATGCTTCCAACCCTTTGACCTCCGGGTAGATGCCGCTGCCTCACCTCGCTCCCCTAGCCGCCTGGCTCTGGAGGGGCCTGGGAAATATGCATCCAGGACAGAGCCCCCTGTCCTGTATTTAAATCTCCGGGTAGTCAGACAGGTGGAGGGACTGGAGTGACCCCTGCTTTCTGCCTTCAGATCCTGAACCCGCCGCCATCCCCGGCCACAGACCCCTCCCTGTACAACATGGACACGTTCTACTCTTCAAACATTCCTGCCACCACCAGACCATACAGGTAAGACCCAACGCGCCCCCTCCCCCTGAGGTGGTGCTGGCTGCCATCTAGTGGTGCTTTCTATGAACTGCAGCTTCAGGCTTTGCCTGCCCCTTTCTCCCCCCCCCCGTCCCCCCCCTCTATGGGATCACCTCTTGCTCAGGGACCTGCAGTGGCTTCCTTCTGTTGTGGCATCACCTCCAGCCTCTCCTGCCCACCTTTGGCTGTCACAGCAAGCCCTGTCTGTCCCTGTCTCCAGAATCATCCATGCCAGGCCCAGTGTCCTCTCACACTTGGTGCCTTGGTTCTGGGGTCCCACCTTGGTAAGACATCTGGCTTCCCTTCCACCTGCAGTGGCCAGGCCCAGGAGGCAGGTGTGGCCGCTGTGCCCGCGTGGGACCCTCCCTGTTGGGATGCAGTCACCACCCTGGACTCGGGCTGCACTGCCCGACAGTTTCTAGGAGGCCAGGGGACAGCTCCAGGGTTAGATAGCTTTAATTCAAGGTGGGCCTGTGCAGCCTCCCACAGCCACAGGAGTAATCTGGTGGCCAGCAGTGGCCGGCCACTTCCTTCCGGCGTGCACTGACTGTTCTAGTAGCCTCCCTGCAGTATCTCTTAAAGAATGGGGCCGTTCCACTCCCTCCTGGGTATCAGTGAGAAACGGAAGCACTGCGCTAGGAACCCTGCTGCCTGAGCTCACCCAGGCAAGGTCTGTATACTGGAAAGGCAGCCACTGCCTGGGGCTCAGCCCTTGCCAGGACCTGCTGGTTGGGGGTGGTATAAGCCCCCCCCCACTGCTGATGTGGGGGTAATGGGGCCAAGAGAAGGTGAGATGTCTCTAGAGCTTGCTAAGGAAGCAAGCAACCTCCAGGGCCACAGTGCATGGCCCGGCTTCCTCCAAGCACTTCCTCCACCCCCTGCAGGCCCTACGTCATTCGAGGCATGGCACCCCCTACCACCCCCTGCAGCACGGACGTGTGTGACAGCGATTACAGTGCCAGCCGCTGGAAGGCCAGCAAGTACTACCTGGACTTGAACTCAGACTCAGACCCCTACCCACCCCCACCCACGCCGCACAGCCAGTACCTGTCCGCCGAGGACAGCTGCCCGCCCTCCCCCGCCACGGAGCGGAGCTACTGTCACCTCTTCCCACCCCCGCCGTCCCCCTGCACCGACTCATCCTGACCTCTGCTGGCCCACCGGCCTCGCTGCGCCCCTGTAAATATTTTTAAATATGAACAAAGAAAAAATATATTTTATGATTAAAAAATAAATATAATTGGGATTTAAAAACACACACATGAGCCATGTGAGCAGTGTTGGGGGTGGGCGGCGGAGAGAGCTTTGTACAGTGGAGAAAAATATTTATAAACCTCTCTTTTTTAAAAACCTAACTGCCATTCTTTTGTGCCCTGTGTGCATTCACGTTGCGAACAAAACCTGACTCCTGGGCGGCCACCGTGTGCGTGTCCCCTCTGTGTCCCTCTGCCAGGTCCCCAGGGGCCACATCGCCCACAGGCACCGTCTTGAGTCACCCTCTGCCGTGGCCGCCCTCAGTCCCCTGCATGGGGGAGACACCTTGTGGTTGGTTGGTTGGTTTTGCCACTTGCTCCTGCCAGACCCGTTCAGAGGCGCTGGGGTGGCTCCGAGCCTGCTGGCCGCTGCCACGGTGAGGGTCATCTCTGTGGACCTCCTGAGCTGGGCACCCGCACCTCTGCCAGGCCGGCTGGGCCTGGTGATCTGCCCATCAGCTGCTGTGCCTGGGACACACTGTGAGGCGCTCACTGAGGCATGCGCCTCGCCTGCATCTCGGGGTCCCTGGGAGCACCCTGAGTTTGTTCTGCCCAGCCACACCACGAGGGGTGGGGAAGGAGTGGCCAGGCTGCTGGGTCTGCATGGGCTGGGAAGGGTTGAGTCACCAGCGCCTCCCGGGCCCGGCCCTCCCCTCCCCCTTCCCACCCCCACACATACTCTGGGGCTGCCCTGACAGAGTCAGGCTAGGGTGCCCTCTGGAGGCCAGCTTTCCCCTCTGTACCCTTTCCTGCTCATAAACCACCTGTGTGGTAAAGCCGGTATCAGCCTTCAGTAGGTACTGCATGCCCTGTCCTGTCCTGTCCTCTGTGTGTGTGTGTGTGTGTGTGTGTGTACACCCACAGGGCCTGTTCACTGATCCTTAGTTTTTTCCACTCAAGGCTGGTGTTTTACCACTTAAGCCATACCTCCACCTCCAGCTTTTTGCTGGTTCATTGGAGATAAGAGTCTCTCAGACTTTCCTGCCCAGGCTGGCTTTGAGTCTCCATACTCAGATCTCAGCCTCTTGAGTGGCTAGGATGACATGTGTGAGCCATCGGACCCAGCATTTTTGGTTTTGTGCTGGTCCTGGGGCTTGAACTTAGGACCTCACTTTCTCACTTGACTTTGTTTGTTAAAAGGCTGACACTTGAGGCTGGGAAGGTAACTTAGTGGTAGAGCGCTTGCCTTGCATGCATGAATCCCTGGGTTTTATTCCTCAGCAGCACATAGCAGAAAAAATCCGGAAGTGGTGCTGTGGCTCAGGTGGTAGAGCGCTAGCCTTGAGCTGAAGAGCTGAGGGACAGTGCCCAGGCCCAGAGTTCAGGCCCCACAACCAACGCCCCCCCCCACACTTGAGCCACACCTCCAGTTCCATATTTTTGTTGGTTAAGTGGAAATAGAGTCCCATGGATTTTTCTCCCCTGGCTGGCTTCAAACCTTGATCCTGGGATCTATCTCCTGAGTAGCTTGGATTATGACGTGAGCAACCAGTGCTGGGCTACAGACCTGGACTTAAGCTATTTGCATTCTGGGAGATCCAGGTAGGTCATTTATGGCTGTACTTTTGAAGTAATGCTGTGGTTCAAGTGCTAGAGCGCTCACCTTGAGCTGAAGAGCTGAGGGACAGCGTTCAGGCCCAGAGTTCAAGCCCCACGACCAATCAAAGAAAGAAGGGAAGGAAGGAAGGTAGGTTAGAAGAGGGGTTGAATTTCCATATTAGGTGGGTGGACCCCTCAGATCCCCCAGAGCCCCACCCCAGCTTGGACACCAGCCCAAGCCCTTCTGGAGCTTGTCCTCTGTGGGTGGGCATGCTTCAGTCCCCAAATGAGTTCTGCCATCAGCACAAAAGGGAAGTCTTCAATTTAAAGTCTCCATTCAAGTGCTGGATGGTGGTGGCTCTCGCCTGTCATTCTAACTACTCAGGAGGCTGAGATCTGAGGACTGCAGCAGGAAAGACAAGAGTCAGTATCCAATTCACCACCCAAAAGCTAGAAGTAGAGCTGAGGTTCAAGTAGAGTGCTAGCCTTGAGCACAAGCTCAGGGACAGTGCTCAAGCCCTCAAGCCCTGGGACACATACACACACACACACACGTGTCTTCATTCAAGGCTCATCTTTCCTACTGAATGGATGTATGAATTAAAAATGTCATCATTATTATTATTTGAATTCTTTAATTTTTTGTCAGTCCTGGGGCTTGAACTCAGGGCCTGGGCACTGTCCCTAAGCTGCTTTTGCTCAAGGTTAGTGCTCTACCACTTGAGCCACAGCACCCCTTCTGGCCTTTTCTATGTATGTGGTATTGAGGAATCGAAACCAGGGCTTCATGTATGCTAGGCAAGCATTCTACCACTGAGCCACCTTCCCTGCCAAAATGTCCCTTTAAGGAAACAAAAGTCTTTACTTGATAGCATTAGCTAGTTTAAGAAGTGTCTATGGGGGCTGGGAAGGTGGCTCAGTGGTAGAGCGCTTGCCTTGCATGCCTGAGGGTTTGATTCCTCAGCACCACATAAGCAAAAAGAAAAAAGCCGGAAGTGGTGCTGTGGCTCAAGTGGTAGAGCACTAGCCTTGAGCTGAAGAGCTGAGGGACAGTGCCAAGGCCCAGAGTTCAGGCCCCACGACCGGACCCAAAAAAAAAAAAAGAAAAGAAAAAAGAAAAAAAAGTGTCTATGTAGTGCTGGGCATAGGGACTTTCATTGAACTCTTCTCTTTTCTGCCTACACTTGAAAAATATGTGTGTATGATTTAAAAAAAAAAAACAGTGTAGGCAGATTGAAAAACATTCAACTACGAAAAGATTAGGTGGAGAGGGAGAAGGTGGTAACCCACTAAATCTAGATGTTTCCAGAACCAGAGGTGCATCTGTGTCAGTCATTCCTTGCTTGTGGATTGGCTGACTTCACTTGGCCCATGGGTTGAGTTTAGACATCTCCTCCTCCAGAAAGACCTTCCTGACTTCTACCTTGACTATAGGAGTTCACCATAATTGGCCACTTATGGGGTCTACTCTTTCTGGGCGAGGTGTTACGTCCTTGTATGTAATTACAGCACACATGTCTGGGGCCCACCTGAGGCAGGAGTGGGAGAGCCTGAAACATGACAGCAGTCCTTTGAGGATGAAGGAAGAGAAGGATGCAGGATCTGCAGGAGGCTGGTACCTCCTGGGTGGGCAGCACAGATGGCAGGACTTGGCCGGAGGCTTGACTTCTGACAAGTCCTCCTGGACCTGCCTCGGGCTCTTCCCCCTATCTGCTGCGATTCCTCGCTCTGTCATCCAGTTCCTGCCCCAACCTCTCTCCACCCCTCCCAGTCCTCAGCCTTTCTGTCCCTCTTCCTAATGTCACCCTGACTGTCCCCCAGTAGCTGGGTGGCCTTAGGCAAAGCCTCTGGCTTCTGAGCAGCAGGATCAATTTGGGCCATCTGCCCTCATCTCCTGCCGCCCCCCCCACTCTGTCCCCCAGGCACTAGACGGTGGCTGAACTTCGCTGAGAAGACCTGGAAAAAAGCCAGACATGAAGCTGCGGCTCAGGTGGCAGAGTGCCAGTGGAAAAGCTCAGGGACAGCATCTAGGCTCTGAGGACGGGCCACACACACAGAGAAGTCAGAAGACCCAAGGCTAGTCCTTAGCATTCCAGTGCTCACTGGGCCTCGGTGACCTCATCTGCAAAATGGGGAGAAACCATTCTGAGCTTGGATGAACCGTTTCTGGCCACCGTCATGGGGGACGGAGAGCCAGCGCTCCCAGCTGTCCACAACTCTCCCTGCCAGTGGCGAGGCTCAGGCCAGCTGGGACCCTGGCAGAGGTCAGAGGGCGGGGGTTCAGAGTGTGAATGCTGAACTTGGCAAGGTGCCACACTTGGCAGGTTCCGCCCAGCACCTAGACCCCTTCCCCAGGAGCCTGGACCGAGCGTGGCGGCGGGATCCGCCGCGGACCTCCCCGCAGGCGCCCCTGCTCTGAGCGGGGGCCCTGGGAAGTGCCCGCTGTGATTCCGTCACTGGGCTGCGGGGTCGCCCACCTCGCCTGCGTCCACCCCGGGGCCCGTGTCCTCCGGGTCCCCTCCCGGCCTGTGACCTTGGTCACCTGCTGGGGGGGGGACGATCCACGCGGGACGTCAGACCTGCCCCGGCCCCGCCGCACGGCTCTCGGGGCAGGTGACCCCTCTGCTCCCAGCGTCCCGGGGCCGTCCGGGGTCCCGAGCTCCGGGCCCTCCCCGTGTGGCGGGGGGGGGGGGCGTTCGGCATTTTGGAAGAAGCTTCCAAAACAACAAAAAAAGGACGCTTCCTCCGGGACCTCTCCGGCAGGTCGGGGGCTGCACCCCCGGAGCACCCCCTCGGCCTGACCCCGATTCCGCGGCAGCCACGATAACGCGAGCGGGCCAACGAGTGTAAAATTCACCCGTGGAGAATGCGGGCATCGATCCCGCTACCTCTCACATGCTAAGCGAGCGCTCTACCACTTGAGCTAATTCCCCAGCTCGAGAACACTCCCGCCCCACCGCGTAATGTGGCTCACGTCACCGCCGGTTCCCCCGCCGCCGGCGCCTCGCCGCCCGCCGCCTTCCCAGCGCCCCCATTGGTTTCCTGGCGGCCCGGGGTCCCGGGCCGTGATTGGTTTGGCTCAGCTTAGTTTTAAAATGCACTCGCCACTCTAATTGGTAGTTCCAAGCATCCATCAAGAAGGGACTCTGTTGTTGCTATGGCGTAGGGAGACCCAGCTAGCCTTCTCCCAGTTTCTGGTTTGTTTCTCAGACTCCGGGTCCTAAAGGTTCCGGATCAGTCAAGTCCCTGGGAAAAGAATGCCCTCCTCGCACTTGACTGACAAGGCCTGAGAGCCTATTGGAGTGGGGGCAAAAGAGTCGCTGGAAGATCCAATAGGTTGCGGGGGGCGGGGAAAAGAGGCCAATGAGCATTCGCTGGGGGGCGGGGACACGCCCGTGATTGGCTAAGAGGCGTCCAGAGGGAGGGCGGGGGGAGACTCAAGGCCTGCTTGATACGTCCGCCATTTTGGGCGCTTCGCTGATGGTGTCGGTGAGCGCGTTTCCCGCCTGAGCGCAACTAGCGGTGGGTCGTGGGCACCTCCGGGTGGTGGGGCGCGGTTCAAAGCCAGCCTGGGCAGGAGAGACCGTGAGACTCCTATCTCCAATAAACCAC